GCGGGCGGAAAGCTAGTTTATAAAACTTAGAAATAACAAGTTTTAAATTCTAATTATATCATTACAAAAATTAATGAAGACATCTATCTCATCTGTAATATAAAAATACTCATTATAATAATGTTGCATGTAATAAAAGTAAAAAGTAAAAACGTTATTAGTCTACCTGCGTGGTCGGTAAAAAGGATAATGAGTGTAACACTAATAACATGAAAAACATATCTAAGGATAATTATCAGTACTTCTGTTTGACTTGGTATTTGGGTTCCGTATGGAATAACAAAGTAATTTCATTGTTTGAAATACATTTGTATGAAATATTGGCTTCGGTTGGTTAAGTTCCGATCATCTGAATTTGCATTTTAACAATCACTGTCTTCTTGTTTTCGTACTGCATCAATACCCGACATTGTTTTGAGTATATACGTCATTGTGGCTCAAGATTTATTGGTTTCAAATATATGCCAGTTATAGTAAAAAAATCAGCCTAACTGAGGTATACGAAGTCAGAAAAATAATCTATTTTTCGTCGTATTTTGTACAATAGAAAAAAATCTCTAATTCTATGTAATTTTAACGTAATAATCGTTTATATATTGGACTGCGGATCTCTAAAAATATTATCAGGGTGGCCACCCAGCGTGAATCGCTCAAAGGCTGTGAGCTCTACAAATAGAGAGGGCCAATTGTCAATTAAAATCACTGCAGGTGGCCAGAGGGCAGCACTGGTAATAGATTATCATGGAGATTCTACCTTCATGCAAAATAAAACATAAAAATTAATAATAATTAACAGCTTAATAGTATTTATAATAGAAATATTAGTGTCCTTCGAAATATTGATCAAATGAATTTCGTTTTTAATTAATACGAAAGATTAAATCACTAAAAAGTAACTATAGTGGATGATACATTTCTTACTATCAGTGCACGTTTTTACAGTGTAACTATCAGTATGCCGTTTAAAATGTATATTAAAACACCGTGTGTAGCCTTGGTCATTGAATTCTTATCAGATATTTATCACGAGTGATAACAACTGATAAGAAACTAACAGGATAGTTTGAAAGTTAGCAGCATAGAAATATAACAGATACTTTTAATATAACATTGTTTAGTATATTTTTATATATTTTCAATATATTAGATATATTATTTTCGAGTAAATGGAAAATTATTTTAAACTTTTCGATTTAATTTTTTGTAAAAAAAATATATTTATTGTTTTGAAACATATTTAATATATTTACAAATTTCATTTAAATACACAAAAAATATATAAAACAATGAGATCAAAATATAAAACAAGATTATAGGCGGAATCGTATTTATCTAATATTATAATGAGATGTAATTTAATAAAAATAAATCTCATAAATTATGAACATTAATCACAGTATAAAACAATAATTCCTAACAAGATATCTTTATACAGAATGTATTACTTTCACTATAACCCACACCAAGATTCATTTCGTTCGCGTGGGTGATTAAAAACTACTTGCATTACTAAAGACAGAGAAATCTATTAAAATATTATACGATTTCATCTTTGAATATTCTTAACATAATTATATTATAATCTTTAGTATGTATTAGATTTTAATGACTAAAATTTATACTAACCTAAACCGATAATGAGATCGCAGATTTTCGCGAGTTTTATTCATTTAAATGAAACTTATATTTTTCGTATATTATGCGACTTTGTTTTTATAAAAAACATCTCGTCTGTATGATCACGGTTGTTTAAAAGTAGCCGAAACGTGTGAAGTATGTAGTTTTTTACAAAAATAAAGCACACGTAGTACATCCGAAAATATAAGTTTCATTAAACCTAAGCCCTTTCAGCTATTTGAAAGGAAGGTACTATTTTAATCGCTCATTTACGAAACAGGAAGTCTATTTACCTTGTAATTATTGCAAAACTTTTTGCTCGTACTTCCAACAAGAAACAATGGTCCTCGCTTTCCTTCTGATTGTCCTATTAATCCATTACAATATAATAATATTTACTTTCAATTTTATTGAATAATTCCAATTATTAAACCTACTAACATAAAAAACAAAGTATAATGAAACGTCAATTTGACATTTAGTAAATGTCGAAAAAATATGACATTCATAAAATAGCAAGATTTAATGTATAACACAATGAAAAAGTAAAAAATTCTAGATCTAAAATCTAAGCAAAAAATTTTCTGCTTAAAATTCGCAATACAAAAGAAATGGCCCAAATAAAATCTAGGCTGATAGTGTTCTTTGTGTGAGCGGCGGGGTTCTCACGGAGACTTATTTGCAGAAAAAATAGTTAGATTTCCCAGCCCGGGTTTGCGTGTCGAATTAATTATAACAGTCTTACAGTTTTTGCATAGTGACTTGGAAGTTCTGTTCGGATTACGTAAGGAATAATATTTTTTAAGAATATTGACTTATTTGTATCAACTCAATATATTGTTCTATAGTATTTAATTAGATAAATTAATTCCATTGAATTTTCTCTAATAAACGCTTAATCGCATATTATACGAATACTGATTTAAGCAGACATTACAGCCTATTTTTCACTTTTGTTTATTTTTTCGTAACGCTGACACAGGCTATCCGATTCGTTTTTGTGCTTGCTCCAATGTTAGATACCTGACACTAGTAGCTGAGTCAGTACTAAGCAAAAACAGAGGCGGTTGCTAAGGCTTATTGTTACTTCCTAGGATTACGCATTCTATTGTTTACTTTACAAACTATAGAATATCTGAGCCAAAATGATTTATTTATTTATGTACCAAAAGTAGTAGTTATTATAAAAGAAATGTGATGTACAATAGATAACTTATCTCTTAAAAGAGATCTCTACCAGACACCCTTTTGATAGAGGAAACTAGAAAAAATCTGGAGTACGTACAATACATTATTTTGGCTATAAAAATGTTGAATATAAGAAGAGTTTTTTAAAAAGTCACCGTCGCCCATTGATATCTGCAAGGGATGTTGCGGATAATATGCTGACCTTGAGTGTTGGGGAAAGAAAGGGGGGGGAATAGAGAAAGGGCAATCGTCTCTCTCACTCATCGGAAACGCAGCCAAAAATCTACTTCACGCCGATCTTCTGTAAGAGGGTGGCACTTCCCGGTCGAGCCAGCACATGTTCGAGCTGTAGTAACTGACCACAGCTAGGCTCTACATAACATATGTACATATGAAATGACTTTGTATTATAAATTGTACTGTTGAAATGCAGAAGGGATTACTTTCTCATGCTTGACTACATCACATCGTAGTAAAATTTATAGAAATAAGCATATTCTGCTTATCACAAGTTCGAGTCATATTACTTAAAGCGTGAACAGTTTTCCATTAGTATATACTACTTACTAGATGATTATAATAAAAAAGTAGGTTATTGTATGAGAAACTGACAAAGCTACGTGTTTTATATGATATTTCAAAGCTATGGTAGTCATATAGGAAATGTAGAGTCAGCTTGCTTAACTAAATTCTATGTACAAATTAAGAAATATGATTTTTGAAACTCAACGATAGGAATATTGCGGAAATATTTCATTCTATTTCGGAAATTAAATTAGTAGTTAAGCTAAATCATTGCCAACATAGAATAGAAGACAAAAAAACTTTCAACATTTTGAAAACCAAAAACTGATAAGTTAAAAGTATTTATTAAAGATCCAAACACCTTTTGAGTCGTTGAAACGTAACACATTGTATCTTAATAATAAATTTAATATATTTCTAACTAGCGACATCTATTTTTATAAACACAACATCTATTAGGCAGGTGTTAGGAAAGCTGTCTTTAGAACCGGTGCTCGTAATTAAAGTGACATAAAACATTTTTTAAAAAACAATTCCTATTAGCATCGCATTAATTTTTCTAAATTATCATAATTTTTTATTATAATAAACCTACATTTTTCTACAAAATGAATATTAACTGTCAATTCGAATTATTGAATAAGAAAACCAGTTGCTATTTCTATTTATTTATCTATTAGAACAAAATGTCAATCGGACATTTTGTATTTGACATCTTCTTATGTGTCCAATAAACGTTCAGAAATTGAAAATGTTTATAAAAACATAATATATACAAAAATAAAAATGATTTTACGTAATAAGACATCAAATATGTTTTTAATTTATAAAAAGTGAATGTAATAACTAAACTAAATAGTAAATACTACTGCCCTTGATATTCTAATATAATTTAAATGTCCATATACATATCCCTACTAAATTATACACTTATTTTATTATAAAATCTATCAACTTATACAGCACATAATCATAATATATTATGTATATTTAATACACACATTGATCACTTAAAATATCGTTTAGTTCAGCGACACTTTATCACAACAACACCGGTTCTTGGGTTTCATTCCCGTGATGTCTGCACGTATGTTTATATTAGAAAGAATAGGAAAATAATCAAACGGTCAACTTTAATCTGTTATAACTACGTAAATATGTTAATGTATATAGTTTTTTAATCAATCCGTTCATAAATTTCACATTGCGTGAACTGATTTCAAATTCAAATAAGTTATTATGGCCTTCGATTTATAATTCAAATAATATTACACAGAAAACCTATGGTACAGATTTTTAAGAATACAATAATAAAAATCTATAATACCTTTTAGGTTTCCACCTCTTCATCAACACTCCGAACATTTTCTATTACAAAATAATGTCCTTCAATATATTAAAAGTAACACTAAACAGCACAAGTAAACACAAAACTATTCAACTACATACATATATGTCATTGACTTAATACACAACAAATACGATCGCACCTTGGAATTATACTAAACTTGCACTTTGGGTCATTCCCGAAATACTCTATTGACCTAGACAGACCGACGCAATCGATAACCGGTGATATTACATAACAAAACAACATAAACATCCCCAATATAACAAAAACATCGATTCAATAGCGATAATTCGACATCGATGCTTCTGTAATAATCGATTTATGTTTTAAAATCCTCGTTCGCACATACACCACTCACGAAAGCCGAAGCTGTACTGAATGGACAGCGTTTTATCGAGTTTTGCTGGAATCGCTCGACTGGTTTGACGACTTGTTGGCCGACTAGTTTGAATTCCGGTGTCAAGTGTGGTCGAAGTTTAGCTAGGTCGATCAGCTGCTGGTTTGACGCCATCATTGTGCGTTTTGGCGCCATCTAACGGCGACCTTAGTTTTTATTATGTTAGTAATTAATTTGCGTTTAGTTTTATATTTAAAAATATAAACTACTCTTTATATTAAATTAATAAACATAAGTAAGTACATTTCTCTTCATTTATGTACATAATAATAAATTATCTTGTGATAAACGAACCCCTTTGTTGACATAATCTAAATTCTTAATGCATCTGTTCTAACAAATATTTAAATTATTCTACATATTTTTTCCTAGCTTCTAAAATTTGTTCCGACACACAAAAGAACATCTGTCTCAATAGTTACAAAATATCCTTGTTTACATAAAGTTCATTGGCTGATAGTATAAAGTGAATGTATATTATATATGTAATATACACATTAACTGGTACACTTTTTTGTCCTACATCTTATAAGCATCGGTGGTTCAGTGGTAGAATGCTCGCCTGCCACGCGGGCGGCCCGGGTTCGATTCCCGGCCGATGCAGTATCTTTTTTTATAGACTTTCACAAAACAATTACTATTACATACCTCATCGATTAGTATTCAACAGAATTTTCATAAACTACAGCTTTTTATTTGAAAGGATCTTGCATTATTAAACATATTTTCTTACATCGAGAATTTTAATATGACGCTTTATAAGTTCGCTTCAAAATGGTCACTCGTACATTGTAAGACAAAAAAAATATTTAATATAAAACATTATTTCATTGAATATTGTGTGACCTCCTTGTATTATTTATTGTCTATGATATTTTAATTAGAGTTCCACTTACATTTTTAATATATTCTGTGTCATTTCTTGTGAATGTTTGATTCAAATTTTTCAAAAATACATTAATAGTAGGTATGATGTAGTATTGTCAGTGTCAAATGTGTTACTAACTTGTCAATTATAACTAAAAATATGCTCATAAAAATATAGTCTTTAAAAAATTCGCCAATATTCCATTAGACAGATGCCTTCGTATTTTCTCCACATAGTATTCAAAATTTTAATATACTTAATTCGTTCCTAAAACAAAAATATATACATTGTCAAAATATTCCTCAGTTCCCGTGCAAATGAAGCTACAGCACAGAAAAAAACTGTATAAATATATTATTTTTTATAAATATAAATGGTCACAGATAAAACAACATTTAATTTCCTTTTATATCACTTTTTATATATTAATTTGTGTATTATTATAACATTCGTACAACGAATAACAAGAGAAAACTGTTGCGGTTTTGATCTAGATGTTCGTTAGACCAGACACGATATAGTTCACGCTTTCATCACAACAACACGCAGGCTATCAAAGATTACATACATTTAATTATTATTAATATGTATTGAACATAAAAATAGTGTTGTCAGTTATATAAATATGAAATAATCCATTGATCTTTTAAATTACTGCTGGTTTTTTTATTAATTCAGTCAAAATAAATGACCTTCCAGTCATTGGGTTGCAATTCACAATAGTTTAAGCAAGAATTAATGTGGTAGAGCCTAGCTGTGGTCAAGTTACTACAGCTCGTACATGGGCTGGCTCGACCGAGCAAGTGATCCGACCCTCTCACAGAAGATCGGCGTGAAGTAGTCTTTAATGGCTGCGTTTCGTCTGATGAGTGGGAGAGCCGGTTGCCCTTTCTTTGTTCCAATTCTTTGATACTTCCTGCCCCCTCCCTTTTTCTATCCTTTCCCCTCCATTTCCTCGGCAATGCATCTGTAACATTTCTTACGTATCAGATGTTCTTCGCGACGGTAACTACCTTACATCAGGTAGGCCGTCTGCTCGTTTGCCGCCTTTGAAAAAAAATACCGATTTTATGGGTAAAAACTATTTTTAATTACAATTTAGTCACAAATAACTTTTTGGTCACTAATTTAAATCTCAATATCCCTTATATGTAATAAATTATCGCCATTAAAATCGAAGCTTACGCTCATTCATAAGGTGCTTAAATTGTCAAAATTATTACTTTGACCCGTAGTTACGCGGCAAATAACCACGTATTTTGAACCCTAGGCCATAGAAATGTTACGGGGGCCTTAATCCCAATCAGAACGAGATCTTTTAGATATAATCTGTTTATTTCTAATTGACAGTATAATGGTACAAGTGACATATTTACGCGAATGGATTTAATTCTGTGTACTATCTTGTGTAAGATGTAATACCACTTTAAAATCTACATCATTATACAATTTTATCGTTTGTATTCTAATGTAAAATCTAATTTAAATGACTATTTTTAAAACTTTATTATGTATATGGAAGTTTTAAATAAATCTAATATCAATAGAACAGCATTCCGTATCATTGACAGCTTTTTAACAGGCTGTTTGACATTTATATGTAATTTGACGTTTCCAAAGAGGTTGTATAAATATATTTTTATATCTTTAAAATATACTAGGTGATTTATAAAATGAATTTCTTTACAACACAGTTTTTTTTTAATCAGAATATCAAAGACACTACCACATATTATACTGCTTCATGACATGGAACTGTCAATCACAATGATATTATTAAGAATTGTCATATAAATTACCATTTTAATAAAACTAAAAATGTATTTAAATATTTTAAATAACCCAAAAAATTTGGTATGAAAAGCCGATTTTTTTATGGAAGATATTAAATAAAAGAGTTGTTTTTGGCTTTTGCATTGTCATACGAAACATAGACAATTTCTTTTTTTTATTTGTATAGCAGAAGAAAGTATTACGGTATACAAATGAACTGAATATTGCCGTGTTTAGTTTAACAGTATAAGCTTTTTGTAATTATTTAATTTCTACAAAGGGCACCGTGCCTGATACCCTCGTCGTTTTATCCGTGGAATTTTCTATTTCATTAGTGTTCTGTCCATCAGTTATTTTTCCATTCCCTTCTACCGTAGTTATTGTGTTATTAAGGCCGATTGTATTGTCCGTTTTTCCATCTCCTTTCAGCTTTTCACCTGGGTTCGTAGCTTGAGTTTTGTCATTATCATTAGTGGAATTTGCGAGTGATGGTGTACCAGTATGTGATGAATTGCCTGTATCCGTGCTTTCCACACTCTGCGACCCGTCCCCATCGATATTAGTTTGATTGAACAGATTCTCTAATATCGAATCCAGTTCTTTTATCTGTCTTTCTGAAGTCAGTTTAAGTTTTTCCTCCCAGGATAGTTCTCGTACACACTTCTCAATACAATCTAATTTCTCTTCGAACACGTTTGGAGACTTACAGCTAGTCGAGATTTCGACGCAGTCTCTCAATAATGAATCGTATTTGAACACGTTATGCATCTTTTCATCACAATCGGTTAATTCAGGCGTTGATAGACATTTATCTGTGATTATTAATCAAGATATTAACAATATAAAAAGCGCTACCAAATTTTAATGTTTTATGATAAGTCATACCATTTAATTTATCTTTAGTTTTTATTTCGAGGTCAACATTTCTGTAGATGCATGTCTCTGAGCATTCTTCTTCCGTGTCGAACTTGTTACTGCTAGGACAGCCCCTCCATACTTCTATCTCACATCGGGAGCCTGGTTTGTAGTAGGAGAACACGTTTTTGGGTGTTTGCTTACAGTCGCTTGTGTTTAGTTTCTCCATACAATATAGTGGCATCTCTAAAAAGTTGGAGGTGTGTCATTTAAAATTCTTATTAAGTACTAGCTTTCGGCCCGCACCTTCGCCCGCGTGGAGTTCAGTTTTATCACGTTTCCAAGAGAACCCTCAAAAGTCTGGGATAAAAACTATCCTATGTTCTTTCTCAAGGACAACTCTATCTTTGTACCAAATTTCATTAAAATCAGTTCAGTGGTTTAGGCGTGAAAGCGTAACAGACAGACAGACAGACAGAGTAACTTTCGCATTTATAATATTAGTAAGGATTATAATTATTTTATATATATTAGTAGAGATATGATAGTAGTAGGGTATTATATTACGAACAAAAATGCTTAGTATAATCAGTATTATGACGTGGTTGTAGTAATTTTAGAGGACTTCATTTTCATAGTTATAACTTGTTTGTTAAATTTAATAAGAGTTAGGCGAGGTGTGAAAAGACAAAAAAATGTTTTTCAGCATTTTACTACGTCAGACGAGTTGTGAAAAAAGACTAAATATTTTATCAGATTCCGGCCAAATAACTAACTGTATGACTACCTAATTTAAATAAGTTAGAAAAAAGTATAAAAAATATATAAGTACATATATAACATACGTGCTAGGTAAAAACTATGTAGAAGAGCAGCGAAATAAAAGAGTTTTATGTAAAAATACAAATAAGTATATAAGTTTTTAAATTAATTTACACTGGTTCCTCGTTTCATCTAGCTGTTCAAACTTACTCGTATGTCCGTGTTGTATAATATTCAAACATTGTAGAATTAAAATGTATTGTGATACGATGTTCATTTTTGAATCTTTTAGTTACGCGGAACACATAGTGAATAAAACAATTAAAAACTCAAACAGTTTTATAGACTTTATAATAGTGGGCTGTTAATAACTATTTTATTATTCATTACGCTGTTTTCTCATTAAAATTATATTTCTTTTAATGTAAATTTGTTCTCATAGTGATAAATATTAAGCTGGCTTCCAAACTGCTAATTAAAGTTTTGGGTGTATTTTAATTATGATAATCAGCAATAGAGTGTTTAAATTATATAAATAATGTTTTTAATTATTTTAAATAGTAAAAAAGTATTGCATCGGCCGGGAATCGAACCCGGGCCGCCCGCGTGGCAGGCGAGCATTCTACCACTGAACCACCGATGCTTACATCAGTATGAGTAATATTAAAATTCAATTCAACAAAATTGATGACTTTCACTTAATATTGAAAAAAAAAAAATCGTGTTAAAGTTAAAAGTTAAGAATAAGTTATAAAACAAATAGTTTAAAATAATAATACAATTTTTTTTATTTGGTTATTAATATAATTTTGATTGAAACCAAATCCAGATAAACACTTCTTTTTTTTAAACAGATTTTAATACACTGAAGAATTTGTTCAAACAATCGTGACAGCGCCACCTGTTAACGGTTTTAGAAAAGTATTACATCTAAAATGATAATGCTTTTAGTTTTGGCACAATCTTAATAGATGGCGCTTTAAAGGATTTCTAGGATAAAATAATTCTGACATTGTACCTCATAGTCGTTTACTTATTATACAAATTTACAATTCCTACATACAAGTTATGCTTATAAAAAAAATAAATTAATCTAGATCCGTCTACTCATCCAGTTTGATGTGGGACAAGAATTAACATGAGATCTTTGTTCGAAGGATTATTCCCGTAATTCATAAAAAAATGTAACCGTTCATTTCTAATTATTTTTATGTGGAATAATAAATAAATTGTCATCATCGTTCGTGATTATTAAACTTTAGCGCTAGTTTTCGGTTTCACAGCTTGTCTCGATTCCGCTGCCTGTGGCGGCGCAGCTTCCAAAACCATACCTGTATTACATTTCTTTTTCAACCTCTTCGTAACTATACAGCCGAGTATTGCTATTATAATCTGTAAAATGATTAAATTATTAATACAAGACGGAGTTTTAATAAGAATATTCATGTTATGAACTCACAATTAGTCCGATGTGGAATGAAGTGACAGCGACTACTGTTTTCGAGCATTGCGTGTACATTTCTATTACGGGATTTCTACAGCCGTATTCATTGTATAGCCTTTTAGCTTTACAAGCTTGTCTTTCCCTCTCTTGGACCAGCTCGGACCGGTCCGCCATATAGCTTGGACAGCATGAGATTGGAACGTCGGGGGAGAAATAAGGAGGGAGGCTGGGGTTGCGATAATCCTGGGGACCGTATACTGCACAGCATTGGAGCTAGAAAGTTATTTAGATTGATTTATATGGGTTATTGTAAATTAAATTCATGAATTATGGCTCATTATATATATATTATTTTGATTTTGAGATTCAAACAAATCGATTGATATTCAATTGTCTTCAAAATTAATGATTATTGTTTTTACTTATCTTAATACAATTGTTAATTTTATTATTAAAGCTTACATCATTCTGCATTATCGACCACAGTCGCACATGTCGCGGGTTGTCAGCTAGCGCCAATTTAAATGACTCCGATAGTGATATGCTCAAGTTTAATTCATCTCTCGTGGTAATTCTCACAGCCACAGCTATGATCAGGGCTTGTATTACAGCGAGGATCACTAGAACTACGGAGGCCTGGTGAAAAAAGACCAGAAAGATTTGAATTAAGGAAACAAGAAATAACAATAGTTACATATTGTATAATGCGAGAGTTCGACACTAGATGGCGCTGTAAATAACCGTAGTTATACATTGTATAGTGCGAGTGTTCGACACTAGATGGTGCTGTTTTAAATTTTCATATATACTTTTTGATTATAGTCTAGAATAATGGCTACCAAGTTTCAGCTTTAAGTACTCTTTATAGCACTGATTTTAGAGAAAGCTGAAAAAAAGGCTTAATTAATGGTAATTTAAGAAGCATTTTCCATTAACGGGCGCTTTATCTAGATATAAGGTAAGATTTTTCGGGTTTTATAAATTTATAAGAGTTAATTTCTATCGCGTGATATGCCAACGCCTCGGTTACACTGAACTTGAATATATTTTCTTCAAGGTTAAGAGTTATTTGACTTGATTTTCTTGAAAAAGCGAGATAACGACGAAAACAACTTTAAAAAATTTAGATTAAAGTAGAAAGAGTAATTACATGGGCTACTCCATTATTTTAAGCCCTTAAGATAAGAACGCCGACAAAAATTACATCGAAATATTACCTAAGTAGCGAAATTTATGATATTACTATATTTTCCAATTTATTAATTTTCATTTAGTATTGTCAATTTGTGGTTTTATCATATAAAAGGCAATAAAGTAACCCGCATACAGGAAACAAAACGTCTTTATGTCTTTGTTAATACTCCTAAGAAGTTGCATTGAGAACCCTACTAATATTATAATTGCGAAAGTTTGTGTGTGTGTATGTTTGTTACTTCTTCACGCTCAAACGGCTGAACCGATTTTTATAAAATTTTGTATACAGGAAGCTGACGTCCAGGAATAGCACATAGGCTACTTTACAACCCGGAAATCTCGTAAATCAGCTAGTTAAAGAATAATAATCAGATTTATGTTCAAATATATATATATATATATATGGCTCACCACGTGTAATTTTCGTATGTGATTCCTCAAGATTCCCACCATAGCGTAAATGGTTATTGAGAGAGTGACTGCTGCTAGAACACTCAACAGTATCATGGCTACCAGCCTCCCGGACTGGTCCACGGCGAAGATCCTCATAGTGATGGCTGTACTGACTGTTACAGCGATCACCGCTATCGAGAGAAGCTAGAGGAAAAAACTTGTATTATCATCTATAATACATAACATCAATGCTGCATGTATAATTTTTTTGTCTTTTAGAGTTGTGCCTAGTACTACTATGGCACATCACTCGCTAATTCAGTACTGTAGTTACTTGATATTGTAATCTTATTATTTGACGCCTACCAATTATAAATACTATGGCCAAAATCATATAGGTCCCAAAAGATTTTTGTTTAAAAGTCTCAGAATGTTGATTTGATTTTTCGTTGACTTCTGGTGGAAGGTTTTTGGAAGCTCAGGGAGTAAAAAGTATGTGTGATAAAAGGAGGAAGATTACTTAATAATATCATTAGAGAGAGATGTCCTTTACAGAGATCTTGGAAGTGAAGAAAATATTCTTTAATTGCTTAAAAACAGAGTAGAATAATTAATTATTATTGATAAGTTAAATAATGTCTTTTAATCGATTGGGAAAAAATGTTTTCTTTGATTTACATGGTAACATGAAATAAGTTATTAATACATAGTATTCTTTTTTAAGATCATCAAAGTTTACCTTACTTTCTTGTTACTTTTAAATCACGATGATGCTATTCCAATAAAGACTGTATTACAAAACCTAACATACAATCCCAATTTGGTACCAAATAATATCTTTCTACGTCCTTCAAAATACACGAGTTTCATCCTAGTTGGATACATTGGAATTTAGACCAGATTCAATAGTTTTTTGGACGTTGAAGTTGTAACGAAAATGTAGAATTTAATTGCGAAATTATTTATAATATATTGAAATAACTTACGATGTTTATGACACATAATGTGACGTATATAATCTTGAGCAGCAAGCATTTCTTCTTCTTCTGTAAGGCCAGTGGGACCGGCAGGCCGTACAACTGACCCAGGCCCTCATGTTGAGTTTGTGGGGGTTCCACTACGGACTCCGGAGATTCTGTGCAATATAGGAACATTAGCACATACCACGATAAATTGGAGTAAAGGTTTCTTGAGGAATAAAATGTATATAATGGATAGAAGACAGTCGTCACGTCATCAGCCTATCAGAGCCCACTGCTGAGCAAAGGCCTCTTCTCACATGGAGAAAGTTTGAGCATTAATCACTCTTGCTCAAGAGGGGTTGGTGATTTCAAACTTATAATTGTGAAATTATAAGTCTAGGTTTCCTCACAATGTTTTCCATCACCGCCTTTAGTGGTGTCTAAATACTCTTAGAAAGTACATATGACTGAAAAATCACATTGGTACTTGCCAGGCACTATGCCAAGTGACCAATACTGAAGATAATATAGGTAGAATTTAATAGATATAATGTTTTTTTACCTGAAGCCGCCGCGTTTCCCATGGCGAGCCAAGCTGGGTATGGGAGACCATCGCTACGCCCTGTATATATAGACAGAATAACAATAGAGCATATGCTTGGATGACAAAATATAATGGCGTACCGATTTATTCATGAGCATCGTTCGCGGTATGTGGAGTTAAGATAAGGTTTTTTTACTCATAATCTGGATAATCATTTGACCGACTTCAAAGAAATGTGTTTCGTTTGACCGCTGTGTGTTTGTGTTTCCGCTAACGTCTTAATGTTTGTGAATCTTATTTACAAATGTTACGAGGTAACTGTATATATAAATAAATATTTTTTATGATAGATTTTCTTAAATTACCCTGTCCTAATATAATTACTTTTCAGTTAATACTGTTTGATACAGTATAAAATAGTTTTTCTGTCTTTTAATGTTACGTTATAAATCCACTGTTTTCATGGACCTTACCATAATTTCAATTTGTTCCTCTAAATCCTCTGTTTAAACTAACGCGTACGAATATTTAAGAAAGCCGAAAAGAACTGATTGTAGTAAAATTTCAGCAATACTCCTGTCTACTCATAGTGTGGTTAAAATAAATTGACTATTGATATTTAGAAATAAAAAAAAAATTAAGAAAAGATATGTAATAGAGATAAGGAAAACAATTTTCATAATGGTTTTAATTGACTTCTATTCTTATAAAACAATATTCAAAAACTTCATTCATACATTAAAATTTGTGACAAAAAAGTAATTATGGAATTTCTAGTTTCAACAACATAATAATATTTTTCTTAATAAATAAATTATATATTCTTTATTGTACTTAAACTACAACTACTAGAATTATTGATACAAATGTAGGATCTTAGCGGTCTTATAGTTAACGAGAGATTTTTAAAGAAAACCAAAATGGAAAAGTAAAATATAATAGGTATTTTATTAATTAAATAGTTTCTTTTATTTAATTATATAATTTTATTGAACACAAATAAAACTATCGGTCGACTGTGAAGTATGTCGCTGATAAACTTACTCACGTAATATTTAACTTGGTTAATAATAAAAATAACTAAACTTTGTTCAAGAATAAAACTTAATACAAAAGCGATATTAAATTAACAAAAAACACATATTTTCATTGATTTTTTATCCATTTACTTTTGATTCATTAAAATGCGAACATTTAAAAAAGAAACCTAAAAATTTGTAAGCTTAAGCTGTTGTTTGTTTTCATACAAAACAATAGTGTTTTAATTAAAAGTAGTTCTTATATTACTATTTTCTCGTCCGTCTGTCAATATTTTTTCTATATCATACATAATAATCTAAATATAACTATCAATACATTATTTACCGTAGATTTTACTATGAAAATAAAATATGAGTACTCACTACGTATTTGCGCGTAGTATTTCAATATTCTAGGGTCCTGGTGATTTATTAAGTAACCGTATATAACTAATTTAGAGAAATCGACATCGTCTTTGATTGACATCACACAAACATACGAAAAAACATATTATTATATATATGAAACATGACTGTATTGTACAATGTGTGATACACAACTCATTAAAACCGCAGACTTAGGCGTGCGTACGATTATTAGCACTGGTTGCGTCACTGGCGCTAAATAAGATAACTGGGGGAAAAAACATATATATATATATATATATATATATATATATATATATATATATATATATATATATCTTCTTCTATCTAACAATTTCCCAGCTATAGCCAGGGTCTGCCTTACATGTTGTGTATAGTTTTGGCTAATTGTTTTTACGACCGCCGCCTGCCTGACATCAACCCTCTTTGGGAATGCATTAATCAGTGATGTCTAAATACACTTAGAAAATACATATGACTCGGAAAAATCATATTGGTACTTGCCAGAATCGAACCCGCGCCGTCGTGCATGAGAGGAGGGCCTTTTGACCAAAAGACCACTACTGACTTATATATATAATATATATACATATATGTATGTGTTAGTCAGTAGTTAATTTTTCTCTACATATCTATCTAATCTTCATTCGAAAACACTATATTATCTTATTTCTCAAATCATATGCCTATTGTTTCGATCTTACAATCAACCACAGTAATTGGGTTTTTGAATTATTTTTTTTTTTGTGATAAATGGAAAGATCATATATAAGTTTAATAACAAAACTATTTTTATTTAATTTTTTTTTGCAATATTTAAAAAGTTATTTCAAAATAAAAATTAAATTTTAAATTCAGTACCGAAGACAAGCCGACAGCTCGTGAATAAACCCGAGCGCGTGTGACGTCACAATGTTAGTTTTTGCTCATTGTAGCATACAGAGATATAATAATTAGTACAGTGTTTTGAGTTTTTATCTAGTAAATTCTGTTGGCATTGTTAAATAATCAAAAGTTTTGTACCATTATGTACAAAGACTACAAAAACAACTCCTGAAAAAATGTTTTTAAATGTTCCACAAGACGAAAAACGTCGAAAGAAATGGTTTCAAGCAGTGCATCGAGATTATTCAAAAACAAAATCATTTTTTTTTGTTGTGAAGATCATTTCGTTGTAAGTTTTCATAATAGTATTGTTATTAATTATTATTTATCTAAGTGTATAAATCGAATAAGTATAGTTCAATAATTAATTTTTTTACCTGGGCTCCAAATCATAACCTTTAGAATCGTAGCATTAAAAAATTTTAATTGATAATTCAAAGCGATTAAATAGTAAATCTATATATATGTTTGTCTAATAATTGGACTTCAATTAATAGATATTTTCATAATTTTATAACATTCTAGGTTCTGTATCAGACTACATTTAAATTTTTAAAGTACATATATGTTATTTTGGTTTTTTTATAATGTTATAATAACATTTTATTAATAATGATTTAATGAAATAATTATTAATTATATTTAATAGAGAATAAATACTAATTTTCATTTAGAATAGTATTTTTTGACAGACTTACCTTGATGTCTTAGCACCTCGAACTTCAGCAAAATTAAACCGCACTTTTAAAAAAATTAGTTATCATAAAAATATATTAACATCAGGAATATTATCCGATTTTGCTTTTATAAATCCTTTATCACACATAGTCGAAATAAACTTTTCAAATCGTTTTTCACTAATAAATTTGAGATATTTTTATCAAGTTAAAGATAATAGCCATAAACACTGTACTATTATGAAATTGCTTTAACATTATGACGTCACAAGTATGCTGACCAATCATGGCGCGTTTACAGTCACGTGATATATTTTTGAATTTTATCAATTTTTAATTGTTTATAATTAATTTAAAAAATATATTTCAAGTTTTTTGCATTAAAAATCCAATATAATTAATAATAAAGTTTTAAAATACATAAAAAAAATCAATACTTTTTTTTTTTTCAAAAACCCAATTACTGATATATCCGATGAATATAATGAAAACGATAAATAAAATGGAATATCTATTTAAAAATATTAATTCAAATATATGTACAAAATTAATATGTGTATATGTTATACATATATAAACATATGAAAAATATAGTTGTGGTCACGAATAATATATCTTGAGTGGCATAACTGCGTTCTTATTTGATATTTATATAAATAGATATTTGTTATATAATTTCTCAAAAACTTTTGAACCAATTTTGATAATATCTCTATTGATAACAATACTGTTACTTTATCTTTCATTACTTGAAAAATAGGAATAGGGAAAGGGCAACCGTCTCTCTCACTCATCAGACGAAACGCAGCCAGTAAAGACTACTTCACGCCGATCTTCTGTGAGAGGGTGGTACTTCCTCGGTCGAGCCAGCCCATGTTCGAGCTGTAGTAACTTGACCACAGCTAGGCTCTACCACCTTTTAATTGTTTATAATAACTAATGCTTATTCATTTGTTAATAGTAGGTAATGAGATTGTAACTTACAGTGAAGTACCGCTAGGATTTGATAGAAAAAATATTGTTAGTAACTCCATTAATTTTTGTCTGAAAGTAACAAAATATTTCGATGTATTAATAGAATAACATTATAAAATTGAAGAAGACTCTTTTTTTTATAAATTTAAATATAAAATAACCTATATATGTACTAGTTTTCGACCGCGAATTCATCTGCGATAATTACGGAATTAGTAATACATATATGTATAGCTGACCGGGCTAATTTCGCCTTAGACGCCGCAGATAACCAGATATTGGAGTTTATTAAGTTTTTTTCTTTTTCTTTAAATATTCTATATTCAACAGCTTTAAATATCCTATGTCCGTCTCCTAGTTCCAAGCTATCTCACCCCCAATTTTTGACCATATCTCTACAATATTTTTTGAGTTATAAATAATTTTTTACCAAATTTCCGTATAAATAAATAAAGTGTGGACACGTTCCAAGTTTTCCAATTGTAGACGCGTGCGGCGGCGTGCTGATACAAAACCACGCCGCCGCACGCGTGTGTGTGTGTGTATACCTAATCTGTAGGGTGTTCACACGATGCGTAATTAATTACATAACTTTTGGTTAACTTTACTTAGAAGTTTATTAATATTTATGTTATATTAATTTTTATTTTGTCATATATGATCGTCAAATATCACGTCCTCAAGTATCGATAGTAATTCACCAGTCACCCTGTATATGTAGACATAGAAATTTTCATAATATTTCATAGTAAATATATACGTTCATATATGTAACTATGTATACAAATATATATATATTTAAGTATCTATCAATAAATTTTCGAAGCTCGTTGAAGCTACGACATTTGATCGTGAAGGCTTGATTATAGTTATTGTACATAAGGACGGTCAGCAAAAACAATTTATAATGAAAAATAATAATAAAAAATATGCTTTATAAACGAACTAAATTTTTCTAATACTACGCGTTTTTTTTATTATTTAATTACAAGATCCAGACGTTTCGATTCCTTTACTGCAGCGGTGAAAGTAAAATTAATTTAAGATAAAATAATTTCGTCCTCAATTATATCTTTGAACTATTATTATACAAATATATTTCGTCAAATCTTGCATAATATTTATTTATTTTTTCAATATAATACTTTGAATTTAATACTAACTTAATAAATTTCCTTTTTTTCTGTCGTAAGCTGTTAATCATCAGGTTAGTCTCCTCGCCATGGCGACCGGCACACAACAAACCACACAACAGCCTTACCAAGGACGATTTGCAAATCCACAAACAATAACCGAAATATATTATTTTCTTTGAACTAAAGTGTTTGGAACACAATACATTTCCAAAACCTGTAATAATGAGCTATTTTATTAAAAATTCCATTTAAATATTCTATTATGAGTTCCAAGAAATAAATGTATTTGGCTCGTCTTTATTGTAATGTACAAATAATATAGAAATTGGAATAGACATTTTTTATTATATATGTATATATATACATTTCAGTAATTATGTAATTAATAGTTTTTAATATCTTGATCACATAAAAAGCTAATACCCTTGAACTTTGAACTTAACAAGTCTAGGTTTACTACTTTCTTGACTGTAGGTATACTTTCTTTAATTAAAAAGGCTTAGGTCCATCCATTAAAACCTAAAAAAAATCATTATTATAGCGTAGGTAGGGTCATCAATCTGAAGATGTGACTTGAATTAAATAAACATAATATTTGAATATAAATTATATTAAATTATTAACTGATATATTCAGTATTACTCTGAAAAGGTGGAAAAATTTTGCAAATATAAACAATCGTATGAAAAATGGAAAAAAAAAAAAGAATTACTACAGTAAGTACATAAGTCGTAGTGACAAATAATTAAAATATATATTACACATTATAATGATTTTGGCATAATATTTGACAGTTAATTTTAATAAAGACAGCTTTTTTTTAAAAAAAAAATACGTTGGCATAATATACCATTACACGTTTTAGCAGCGATTAAATAATTAAACAATAGCACTCAACAGACTAATTAAATAAATGTTTTTAACTCTTCTGTTTTTGTTTTACTTTCAATTTTAATTTAATTCAGTTTGTTTTTCTTTGTGTATTGGCTTTAAGTGGAAACAGTGTTTTTAAATTGTTTGTTTCCCAAATAAATAAATTTGAAAAAAATAAAAAAATCTATGTTACTAATGTATTTAACTGACTGCCTGTAACTGTATTCAAGTTAACTCAGATGAATGTTTAAGTTCGTTATCGTGTTATCAGTGTAAGTAAACCGTGTCAATGGCTGAAATGTTCTCAATACGGAAGAAACTTGTCTTCCGGATGTATACAAATCTTAAACACGAAACGGCGCCAACAAAATGTTTTTAACTACCTCTTTATTTTAGTCAATTAATAAATTTAAAGTTTGTGTGAAATGAGAATAAGCATATATATTCTTTTTAAGAAATACATTAAAATTATTAAAAAATAAACATCACACACACTACCATGAGTTCACATACACACACACACACACATAATTCGTCAATCTGTGAATCTTCTTCAACGTGTGTATCCTACTATTTATTATAATTGGGAAAGTTTTTGAGTGTGTGTATGTTTGCTACTTCTTCACGCTCAAACCGCTGAACCGATTTTGATAAAATTTTGTATACAGGAAGCTGACGTCCAGGAATAACATATAGGCTACTTTACATCCCGGAAATCCCGAAAATCCCGGAAATCCGCGGGTAAGACCGCGGCGCGCAGCTAGTTGTCTATAAAAGTCAAACATAATGACGTTTATATTGTACTATTGCATTTTAAATCAATTAATTTCTTGACCATATTTAGTATATATTTACTTATTAATAATTTATATAATAATTGGAGAACTCAAATGTAATACATACAAAATTAAACAGTAAACAAATTCACATCATAATAATTATATAAGTAATATGTAATAATTACTAAACTGTCGATCTAATCCAATTTTATTATTCCCGCCATATTATTTGTCAGTACGTGTCAATAATAACTTCTGTCAGAATTTCAAATAATATTTCTTTAAAAGAAACAAACCTTCAAAAAACCTTATTCGTTAAAACTCAGATAATACGGCTATGATTTCGACTTTAGAGGCGCGGCTTTTATGGTCATGTTAAGCGACATTACTGTATCACCTTGGATGGGTAACCGAATTTAATTAAACTTCCTCTCTCTCTAAGGCATTTAAAATTGAATTACCTAAAATCTAAATAGTTTAAGAGTAATATTATAATAAAGTTTTTCGTATCTCCTAGATTTATCATATTATATAAAGCATTTTTCATATTAATGAATACTGACATAAAATATATTTCAGCTTCGGAAGTTATAGAATAAAAGTATATGGTAAAGATTTCTTTACTATCTGATATCGTGTTTAAGGGGCTGTAAATTTCATGGCTTTTCCTGGTCATTGTACCGGTGAGGTATTGACCCTGGGGTAACAGCACTTGTATGGTTACCCTTCGTCTCCATGGTGATTTGTCGTATTCTCGCATACCCATACTTAAAGTTAAATCTTTACACACTTTTTACATTAACTTGATGAATATACTGTCAAGGTAATAATTATCTATACAAAAAAATTTGAGTGTCTGTTTGTAATATTGAAATAACCGTTTTTTACCACATGCATATGCAAATAACTTTTTTTAAAATTTGTGTCCGTCTGTCTGTCTGTTCCGACTAATCTCTGAAATGGCTTGACCGATTTTTATGAGACTTTTATTGGCATTGGTAACTTAGGCTACTTTTTATCTCTATAAAAAGTTTTCCCCATCATATTTTGTTTGTTTGTACTTTTAAGCAGACGGAGTCGCGGGTGTCAGCTAGTTAGTAATATAATCACATTATTCAATATCATGTAAGTAGGTTTAACACGTGTTACGTCATAGATTACGTCATGAGTGTATTCATTGAGTGACATCATATTAACACAAGATGTTAGGTTAGAATGAGTCTTAAAATAAGATTGATATTGTTTTAAATGTTTTGAATATTTAAATGATATTAAACCTTAATCACTGATTTTTAAAATAGCATTTCGCTTGAACTAGCTCTTATTATTCGACTCTCCATTTTTTAAATTGCTTTAATTGATATTAAACCATCAAAACTAATACTTAAAAATGCATTTCGCTTGAACTAGTTTAGATCATTCGACTCTCCAAAGCTAAGTTTAATATAATTAAGATTTTCGTGCTTTTTAAACACGTGTTATCTTCATTAAGTAAAAGAGAGTACATATGTTTTTCTAATTCTTGTTTTTTTTAAATATTTTTTTAGAAGATTCTATTTTTTTATTTAATGTGACACAAATGGAGCGGCGTGTTATTTTTATAAGTAGTACGTGAAAGAGAAAATATCTTTATAAATTAAAGAAAACCTTATTTTTGTGTTATATTAAAAGTAATATTTAATATTACCTTCTCATTTTTATATATTTAACATAACTTTTCTCTGTAACCTGTGAATAAATGAAAGCAAAGGCTGACAAATTAAATTCAGATTAATTAGGCTTATTTACAATATAAAGTTGAAAAAATAATTTTCATTAAATCTATAATAGATACATATAAATAAAAAAACTCTTAATCTAAAATTAAACTTATTCTTTTGTAAAATATTTATATCAATTTTTATCAAGCGCCTATCAGTTTAAGAGAGCAAAGTGTAATGATATGTGATTTATCGCCTTTATTTACTGTTCTTAGTATGAGCAGAAATACTATTTGTATATAAGTAATGTACACGGATACGTACGTTTGATAGTGTACATAATAATAAATCAATTTAAATGTAGATATGTTTATTTCAATGGCTCAAGTTTAAGTTATAGTTTGGTTGTTAAGAGTGTTCTTTTTGTAATCGTATTAATTTTCAATACTTTTTTATGTAATGTTAAAATAATAGGATGGGCTGTAAAATATTTGCTGTTAAATAATTAAAAACTGTAAATTTTCTCTCTTTATAGAACCAACTACGAAACAAAAATATTTTAAACAAAATGGAATATATTTTAATATCGTAAAATTATGTTATTCTTTAAATTTTTAGTATCAAATCATGTATATTTCAGAACGTATCAACATATTTTTTTTAATAACTAAACTCAAAAAAAATTACGTAAAAAACCTTGAAAGTTTAGGCATGTCTCAATCAAATCTTAGCCACAATTGACTTGGAGATCAACAACCCAGACTTACTGAAATCGATTAATTAGATCCCAATCATTGTTTTACGTTAATTAGAGGTCAAAGTAATTTCGGGGGTGTTTTACTGCGTGATTTCAACTCTCACGCGATATATACCTACTAAATACAGGGCCCGCTGTATATACATTGAGTTGCCAGCGGTCGCCGGCACTAGTACGCGGGAGTCTACAGCGGGCGAACGTAAAATAAAAACGTTAGAAATTCAAAAAGTGCGTCAGTGATTTTTGTTTTGTATACAACATGGAAGGCTGCGGTATGAAATGCATTAAATATCTCCTCGTTGTTTTCAATGGTTTATTTGTGGTGAGTTAATTAATTATTTAATTAATAATAATATTATTTTTATAGATGTAGCTATAATGGTACGTGTAAAATCTATTTATTAATGTATGAGTCATGTTGACTCATTTTTAGTTTATTAGACAGTAGGTCGTTGTTATTTTTGTCGCCTCGATTTCAACAATTTTGACGCTCTGACAAAACAAGTATTCTGATATTCATAGTTAAAAAATTAATTTTAAAATAAATTAAAGTTACTAATAATTAAAATAAAAAGATTTTGTTTTGACCGAAAATAATCACACGTTTTTAAATATATATAAAAATTACATACCATAAATAACAGGAAACAACATATCACTTATTTATTAATTATTATAGCTTTAAAACATATAACTTCACAAGCAAGGAGCTAAATAGATTCAAGATCGGCACATTACTTGTGGACCTTAGCGCCCTTCTTTAGATCTGCTGTATACGGAAATTGATTGGATTAAGACTTATGAGAGTGAATTATTAATTCACTGTATTCATTATACATTTATATAAACTTACTTACTTAAATAACTGTTGGAATAAAAAAATGAAAAAAAAGAAATGAGTTTAGGAGTTTTACCGTAATAAACACACATACTATTATATTGCTTTTATATATAGGTATTTAAATAGAAAAGGAATTCTCAAATTGTTATTAATATACGTTTTCGTATAATTGCCTATCAGTCATTTATAATCAATGAACACATTTTCGCTCACTTTTCCTTTAATAAAGACATTTTTCGTTCAGAACTTGGTACTATCAAACCAAAATTAAAAGGAGAAAAATATTGTTCGACTGAAAATTAGTTTCTGTTCTTTATTTTATTTAAGTCAGTAATTAATGTATTGTACTATTGAAGTTGAAATAATCAATTAATAATTCAAGAATGGATAGTCGATATCAAGTATATATTTATTCCGGAAAGTATTCCCTGTTATGCGAATAATTTTCCGTATACGGTAACAGCCGTATACGGATGATTATTGAAGAGCTTGGACGTGTTACTGGTTCAAGGAGCCCTTCCGCTCAGATCAAGATATAGACAGCTTTGGACAACAGCTTAAAGTTAATTCAGAACACAATAATAAACTTGCTTATTATTCTTAACACATACTAGTTAAGCCTGCGGTTTCTTCCGCATTAAATAGTTATATATATTAGAAACTCCAAAATCAATATGTTCTAAGTTACTTCATATTAATACGCTATTTGCTCGTATAAGTTTTATAGAAATCGGTCCAATAATTTTGGAGATTAGTCGGAACAAACCAACAGACGGAGACGATAAATAAAGAAAAAGGTTATTCTGGAATATGCCTCATGATTCTGGTGTACTCGTAAAATCATTTATGAAAAAGATTTATTTCAATATTACAAACGTAGAATACTACCATATATATACATACACACTAGCTTTCCGCCCGCAGCTTCGGCCGCGTGGAGTTCGGTTATATCGAGTTTCCAAGAGAACCTTTCAAAAGTCTGGGATAAAAACTATCCTATGTTCTTTTTCAAGGTCAACTCTATCTGTACAAAATTTCATTAAAATCAGTTCAGTGGTTTAGGCGTGACAGCGTAACAGACAGACAGACAGACAGAGTTACTTTCGTATTTATAATATTAGTAGGGATGGTATGTGTGTGTGTGTGTGTGTGTACTCGTACAATATATACAAACACCTGCTAAGTTACATTATGATTTAATCTTATTTCTCAATGACAATGAATCATCTCATGACGGTCCACGTCATACTCTAAGTATCAAATATACATAGTAATAAATACGACAGACGTCTGTATGTGTGTTGTAACTTTTTATATATAAATACGATGTAAAGAAAGTTAGGGGCAGTTATAAAATATTTTTTTTTAATTAATTTTCGTATTATTTAAAATTGATAGACCATTATGAAAAATATTAAAAAGGAACTATGTATATATTTTTTTCAATAATATAATCTAAATATATAAAACAAAATTTATAGTAGTAACATTACTTATAACTGAAGAACTTTTGTAGACTGTAGGGATATGGTTGAAAACTGATAATTGGTGGTGAGATAGCTTAGAACCAGGAGACGGACATAGGATAGGTAATTAATTCTATTCGATCGAAATAGAAAAAAAGCTTAATAAACTCCAATATATGGTTATATTTGGCTTTTAAGGCGGAATAGAGTTCGCTCGGTCAGCATTAATTCAGACGAAGTCGCGTGTAAAAAATAGTAATTAATAAATTACTTTTGTTCGGATTTAAATAAAAAATAAATTTGCTTTATACGATTTTATTTTACTATTTCTTAGCTGTCAGCATGCATACTTTAAGTTTTGCCATCCTCACACTACATAACGCGTTAACACTTAACAGTTTTCCATACATAAATCTTCGCAATATTAAAATAGATTATTCATTAAAAACGTGAAAATCTTCGTATATAGTGAGAATGGAAACTCATGGTAAGCGTTCTGGACTCACGCGATTCTACCATAAAGTTAATGTATTCAAAGTATGTTCAAATTGAAACAGTTTTATTACGATTTTATATAGTTTTTAGTTAGGTCATAGTTTTTTAACACAATTAATACAAGTTCTCATCGTCAAACTAGCAACGAGTAGTTCTCAGTATTGCATTAATAAATATATTGAAACTTGACTACGTAACTGATGGTAAGCGCTCATACTAAAGAACACCGAAAGATAATAAGCATTTAACCAAAGTATCATATTTGGATAGGTACATTGTTTAAGACGTGACAAATCACGCGTGAAGGACAGTATTGAATTACAATACAAAAAAAATACGAAAAATTACCTAACATGGTCTAAATTTAAACTAAATAATTATATCTAGAAAAAACAACTAAGTTTTACTAGTAAGAAAAAATATAATGCTTACAAATAGATTATAAAATGTCATCACTATGTTAAATAATTATATTACCTTAAAAATTATCGAGATATTTTAGTAATATTTGATGTCTTATCTCAAAAAGAAACAAGACATTAATAGATTTTAATTAATTTTAAAGTTTATTTCTACGTAAAGGCTAAACTATGTAGTTACATTTCTATGAGTTATATTGTCAGTAATACGTGGTCAGACGAATAACATCTCGTTCAACGATTCTATTGTTGTTATAATACAATGTTTTCTATTCAATAATAATTATTATTTATGAGATTGTTAATATTAATTTATGCTTATACTACGTCTGCATATAAATACGGAGAATTAAAAGTATTTCATTCATAAATCTTCGAACATTATAGTATTAGAGACGAGACGAAATCTCTCAACATTCAATGGATTCACAGTGCGGGTGTCGGGTCCATCGTTGCAGTGAGAGGAGCTTCAACAGTGACTGGGACTTGTGACCCAGGTGTAGGTTTAAGGGGCCCTATCTAACGCGCGTTATACGCTCACCTCCACTGTCCAAGCTCCTCTTTCTTCCTAACCAAATTATGTTATTGGATTCGAAACGAAAAACGGATTGTGTGTAGTCACGATGTTAACGTAAAATAAGGATATATTCAGTCATTACTTACCGAGCTTTAAGACACTACAATCGAAGTACACTATCAATCGAAGTACAAATTACGGTGTGTAGTGAAAATTCCATATAATCAATAAACATTTAGGATTTTAACAAAATATAGTTTTCTTATAAAGCCATTACTTTTAAATAACATATCAAAACTTCACTAGAACAAACTAATTATTATCTTAAACCAAAACACTTTAAACAAGTTGAATTCAATTTACAAAGACACGAGCCGCGTCAATAACTACTTTCGTCTTTCCCGCGTAAAAGTGAACAAACCAAACGTCATCGCTTTAGCATCACTTCGGGTGCGTTCAAGAATTTAAAGGTTCGGATTAAATTAATTTTTGTTGCCTAAATATAGTTTATATAATACAGATTGTGGATACAATTTTAAATTACAATGCAGTTGACTAAAACGAAACATTTAGCAGGAAAAAAACATTACATATTCGAGTAACTATAACATACTTATACCATTGACATAATTAATAGTAAATTTATGAACTAGGAAATAAAAACATTCGTGTTACCACAAAAAACTAATACGAATGATACATTTAACAAATGAATGAATTAAAACGCCAACTGTGACACAGTTTGAATATAAAATGTTTTAATCTAAATATAGACTATAATATACAAATAGTATCTGTGTTATATTTGAGAAACAGAATTTTAATACTTATTTCTGATGTTTATGAAAACAAACTTATTGATTTATAAATAAAATACCTACTGTTAATAAATATTTCTCGTTTTATTTCAACCCAAAATAATATATTCTCGTAATAAATTTTAAGAATAAAAAAGTTTTGCTCAATATATAATCTATAATGTATTATTGAGAAAATTATTATAGGAAGGAAACAATGACGAATATTCTATACGCCTAATACGGATGACGCTATCTTATTTAATAGACGCCGGCTTCTGGTTCATTACCAGATCAACTCAAACGTATGATTGGTTTGTCCTTGATATATTGTCATCATAATTCTGAAATTCACGTTATTCCACTAGAAGCAATTTAAAAATTGAGATACAAAGTTGATATCAAAACGAAACATACATTAGTGCAGTGATTTGGGTTTTTCGAATCATTTATTATTAAAACATCACATATAGGGCTATAAATACAGCTAGAAAGCAAAGGAATGTTTCAGTAGATCGATAAATGTATTTACAATGTAAAAAACCTTTAGTTCAGTGAATGGTAAATTACTTTTACCTGTAAGTGGAGTGAGGGCTTACCTGGGTCATTAGATCAGGTCACACGAGGAAGCGCGTCGAACTATTGATTTTATTACAAATCACTTCCTAACAATGTATTAATATACCAACTATAAAGCTTACAAAATTCTCTACTTTGACCTAAAATTATAATATTAACACGTACTTAGTACTATGATGACGAGAGCTACAGACAATTAATTCAAATTGCAACTGCAATTTCAATTTTCTTAAAAGGTCTCAGGTCCTGGCGCCTTGGAATCATTCTCGTTAAAGACTTTAATTGTGTCAATTAAACAATTTACTAAATGAAAACTATTTAAGCAATTCAGAGATTCATGTACCTACAATTGTTGTAAAGTTTCCTTTAAATTGCTATCATGTACTTTAATGAAAAGACTATTAAAATTAACAACTATTTTGAGCGTATAACATGATGTGGCGTTTATTCTGGTTCTATCAACTATACTTGTGTAGTGTATTTTATTTCAACAATGCTTTGAGTTAAATGTATGCATTGATGATTGTGGTGTTTGAAGGTTATACATTTTAATCCGAGGCATTCAACTAACAATGTTTGTCAAACAATAGACATACTAGTGAAGTTTTACTATATATAATACACTATATTGCATTTGTTTAATTTGATATAAGTTGAAAAATTGAGAAGAAATAAGTTTAAACGATAGTATCTTAACAATATTCTTTGTCCTAATAAAAATGCTGTAATATAAAAAATTACATATGTTCATATATTTTTGGGCATGCATTTCATACCCACGTTGCGCCCACGATTGGCGCCGACGCTTTCTTATTTGTGTGGTAATCGTTATCCATTCACATACACATATCAAACCATTATCTATTGCTCATAGTGTAATCTGGTAGAAACAAAATAAGGACTTATATGATAAAGTCATATGGAAAGAGGAGCTAAATAGAAGCAAAATTAAAGATTTATACTGACCCAATGGAAAAGAAGGGTCAAAAGTAGAAGTTTAGTCTATCGTGACTCTTGCAATTAGTTATAATAGGTCAGTAATTTAAACGCCCTTTGTTATTACATAATATCTTGTAAGACCTAGTTTCTAGCGACCCATTTTCGCGATCAAGCGACCTCTTTCACGCCATAGTAATAAACAGCATAGCTATGGGATGGGCTAAATGTGTACTGTTAATTGGAACACGAATTTTAATAAATGATCGTAAATAATCTATTTGTATGATTATTGTTTAGTTTGGATTAAACATTGAATATTAAACCACAGTTATAAGTGATATATTGTCCTAAAATTAGTCAACTGGATGGCTTTTTACTTCTTTTCTTGGAAAACCTTAAGACTGATTATGTCAAATATGTTATGAGTCATCATTGTTTGAAATGATAGATTGCTTTAACTTTGTAGTATATTTTGTGGTAACGTTCACTGTTCGTAATAGAATAATTAATATACCTAAGAGTAAAAATATTGGTCGTTTAACGTACTTCTAAAGTGAAATAAATTAGAAAATCGACAAGCAATATTTGAATCACGTTTTTAAATGTGTTTCCATCAACAACTAAACAGCAACAAAAGTTAAGCCTAAATTAAAAACCTATTACATTCGTTTACATATCAGTGTTAAAGTTTTGAAAATCACATTCATTTTGTCTGTCCGTGATGACGATTTCGGCAAAGGACTCGAATCGTCGCTATTACAAAGTTAAAAAATTATTTAAAAAAAACCCATAGTCTTCTTCTTCTACCTGGCAATTTCCCAGCTATAGCCAAATCTGCCTTACATGTTCGTAAATAGTTTTGGCTAATTGTTTTTACGACCGGCCGCCTGCCTGACATCAGCCCTCTTTTGGGAATCTTTGGAAAAAAAACCCGTAGTATTATTATTAAACCATAGTTTCAAATGAAATTTACTTCCAGATCTTCGGCATCACAATAATAGCAGCAGCATGTGTGGACATGGGCATGATAAAGGGTTTCGCTGGGATGGATGGCGCGTCAGGCCATGAGACGGATGTGGTGCTCATAGTGGTTGGAGTCCTCATCATCATTGTAGCAGCCTTTGGATGTTTCGGAGCCTGGAAGGAGAGCCCTAAGCTGCTGTATATCGTGAGTCAATGATAATTTTATTGACTCAATATAAATAGACTAGATTTGATGCTTAAACTTGGGATATTAAACATTGATTTCATTAATTCATTATTATGTTAATAAGATTTATTTATAAATTCATACTATATACTTTTATATATGAGAGTTTTTTCGTGCATCATCTTGTCATTAGTTTATTTTTATACATTATTTCTGTCTCTTTTTTGCATATTATTTTATTTTCTTATCATCACATTTTAGGACATTTAGTATTCATTATCCAACTTATAGTTATTTAACCAAAATTATTTATTTTACCACAACTAAAACAACCTTTAATACATTAGATCAATCTAAGACATGTATAAATTACAAAGTTACAATGATTACCTAATATTATGTAACATGTTCTTGTCTCATGAATTTTGGAAGATTATCTAAATTTATCTGAGAATTTTAAGCTATGGTAACATTAATATTCCAACTGGCACACTTCTGTTTAGGCCTAGAAACTTCCATGAGCGTGTAACTAGGACATATTGTCATAAAATCGATTTATAATAACTCACATCACCCTACCGATCTGTTTAATCATTAATCACACGTAATATCCTTTTGTTATTGACTTAATACGTGGAAACTATTTAAATTCTTACACTTATAAACATTAAAAGTTGTAATGAAGTAATAAACAGCAATGAAATATTGCCTTTTTTATGTTTTGGTATCTTTTATATTTCATTTTCAGTTCGCGGGATGCCTCATAATAATCATTCTTCTGGAACTTTCCGTGGGCATCGCGGCTGCGGCTCTTCGTCCTCAAATCGAGGGTACAATGAAAACTCAGCTCAGAGCCTCCTTCATTAAGAACAAATCCACTCGTGAGGAAGACTCCACCTACAGAGAGTTCTGGGACCGCATTCAGAGCAGCGTAAGTAATCATGAAAGCTATTAAAACCCTTTTTTATCATGACCACAAATATAATACGGAATATTCCTTATTTTAGGCTCTTATACGCAAAAAGACATGTTTTGGTAAATAATGCAAGGCTATTGTTTCTTGCGTTCACGTTCTATCCTTTAATGCTCTTTGCTATTCATTTTAAATAAAATTATATACAGTATCAAGAGCAATATTTTTTGTAAATATGCGTAAAAAAACATATTTTGGTAATAAAGTAAGGCTAGCGTTTCTAGCGCTCAAGTTACTAATCTAAATACAATTTTATATACCAAGTGCAATTGGTTAGGGTTGCAAATTATTTCATTGTTAAAACATTTGAATTGATCCCGAATTTAAACCCTACCTTTCCTAAACTAATGTAAACCCCCACTATTAATGTTAATTCAGTTGGAATGTTGTGGAGTGACCGGTCCTGATAACTACGTAGCTTCCGAGCCTCGTCTCAACCCCTCCTTTAGCTGCTGCCCTCCCGATGGTACAGATCGTGCTGATGAGATCAAGCGCTCCGACTGCATCTCCCTCTCCAAGTACTATCAGAGCGGCTGCGAGGATAAAGTTCTTAGCACCGTCCATAGTGCTGGTATGACGGTCATTGTGTGTGGAATTCTCTTCTGCTTTTTGGAGGTAAGTCTTTCTTGAGGATTTGAAGTCGTTTCTAATGTTATGTATTAAAATTATTGCAGTTCTATCACAGGTAACTAGCGATGTAGGAGAAAACTAACTTATGTAGAGACTAGCGTTTTTTACTCTAATTGCTGGTTGGAGTAATGTGGTCGTGACTAGATAATGTCAGAATACCTAACCCCAAAATCTTAGTTTCAATCCCATTCGCATAGTTCATCTTCATCAGGAAAAGATTTGCTTTTTTGTTCATAATAATAATGAACATGTTTATAGGACATAATACTAAAGAATCTTGAAAGAAGTTACTGAAAAATGAACAGGAAAAGTTTTAATACTTCGGAATTTTTGATTTTGATTGAAGCCGAAATCGAACTTACAACCGGCGAAATATCGCTTTCTAGTAACTTAAATTAAACTATAGTGTCCTTACTCGATGCAGTATTTTTTTAGTATATATTTATCTTTTATTTAAATTTTAATTGACATACTTTCATAAGCCTAGCGTAGTAAAGGCCTCTTCTCTGTGTAAGAAAAGTACTTTGCTCTGATAGGCCGATGACAATATTGAATCATAACAATACGAATGTAGATATTTTAGTTCCAATCAAAGTTATTTTCACGTTTCTAAAGTAAGTAAGGTGATGTGAATCTTTCTTTCAGGTGACCGGTATAGTCTTGGCTCTATGGCTCGCTCACTCCATCAAAACACAGGACAAGGGTCGCGAAACAGCGTAGATACATGCACTAGTAAAATCAAATTACTTTTCAACACAATTAATATTAATTTATAACCTACATAGATCGTGTTATATAATGTCACTGAATTTTATATTGGTGCTGTAAATTTATGATGATTTTGAAATTCATAATTAAATTGGTAACGCACTATTAATGGAGAAATTATATATGAATTATAAAATTTTAATTAAACCACCGTAAAAAAGTACAAATAAGATTTAAGTGTTTAATTCCGTGCACAATATCGAGCTAGTATTAAGAGTCGACTAGTCAAAATGTAATTCATTTTTTTGTATAGTCCACGTGTGTTTTTATCACTTAAGATAAAGAAGTATTAATTTTATTAATTAATTTGTAACATGTTATGAAAATTTCGAGATTTTTAAGTATTATTATATTTATTTTATCATATTAATTGTAAGTCAAACTTCCTTTAGTTGTATTTTTATTGATGTGGAATATTGATGTTGGTATGTTCTTTAATAAAATATCAGAGTTTCGTTGTGTTTTTTTTATTTAAAATAAAAGTTATGAAAATATTAATAAGCATCAAAAAAATGTATTAGCACATGTATGCATGCACACATTTTTTATAAATTTGGGTACCTGTTTACTTTTCAGCATAATGTGGCAGAAATGCCACTATGGTAAAGTATTTCCTTTTTTTTATTTACCTCATATTACATGGCCTTTTTCATCCATCTATCGCGTGTCGCATTACAGCAGCAATGAGTAGGGGTAAGTGAGAGACACTTAAGAGAAATTCGCTGGTATGTCATCTGCTGACTTATATTCTTACAGATTTGGATCATAAGGCATTTATGATTTCAATCAAAATTATTAGCTCTCATTTCTTGTATTTTATATCAATAAGATTAAGGCATTTAATTGTTTTATCTAAATTTGTAGTTGAATATCCCATTTTATTCTGATTTTACAATAAAAACTCAATTTTAATAACTGGCATCGAAAATTTGTATTAAATATTGAATTACTGAAATCCAGAAAAGTAATTATTTTTCGTTGAGATTTTATACAACTATCCAAAGTTTTATGTTTTATAAATAATATAAACAATTGAAAGATAAAGAGTTTATTCGTGAAAAAGTAAAAATTTATATTGTTAATTAATATTAGTGTGTTTGTGAAACATTTATGAGAAGGAAAACTTAACAACAACTAGTTAAATCTATTTGTAAATTTAATTAGCCTCATTGAAGACATAAATTAAATAAAAAAAATATTCAATTATAGTAAATTTCACATTTAAGAGAAAGTATCAAAATTAATAAATCTGATAAAATTTAATTTCTTAACTAATACTGAAAGTGGTTCACAATATAATGAGATCAGTTAATTTAGAGATATCTTAAAGACAAAGGTAATAATTTTAGCATAACCACACTGGTCAACACAAGAATGCACATTTCTTTGTTTCTTTCTTTCGGTTTTAAAAAATATTTGTGAATATGTATAAATGAATTTGTTATGAAATAGAATAGTTTTTTAAATTTACGTGTAATTCTAAATTCATGATATATAATATATTTTTTAAAATATCCCTTCACGATATAAATAATTTTGAATAATAACTATTTTCATTTCAACCTCAATAAATAATTAATTAAGACTCATGTTATCACTAAAATAAATAAGCATAAGAAAAATAATTGTAATATTTTAACTGACAAACCTACTACCTCAAATATAGCCAGGAATTATTCATATGATAATACATAATATAAAAAAGCATATTAAATATTTTTTTACAACATTGGTCCCAATTGCACAGCTGTTCAAAACATTCGCCTATAGAACTACGAAATAAAATACAATCGAAAAAAGAACCACGCTAATCCAAAATACAGTTTTTTTAGGTTCGAAACCTCTGTAACTTTATAACTACAATTTATCACAGTTATCAGCTAATTTGACGTTTCCTTACATTTGAATTGTTTAATAATTAAATGTGTTAACAGTGAACAATCCAATGTGCATGCAGAAAGTCTTCAAAGAGTGGTTTTTATGCTTTGTTGTGGTAATCATTTGATAAAACTTGTTGCTACTATGTATCTGTCATATGAGTGCAATTTCTTGAACACGTTAGGTAGATATTTAAGTCTCGAAATGAGCTTGTAAGTTCTGTTGAAGTTTTCTACGTTCCTGTCTCACGACGCGCGCCATCCATAGAGATAGAATGATGCATACGATCTGAAATAAATATTCAAATGATTCAGCAGTATGATGCAAAAAAATAATTTTCTATTCCCTCATAATCTATAGTACCGATTCCAAAAGATGTCTTGAGAAAAAATCCTAAAATCCATTCGAGAAATTCCAGAATAAACACATTTCTATGTCAAGGTATCTTAGCAAATAATGTAACTGACCTCCAATAGAGTAAAAATAATTCCAGTTGTAATAAAAATGTTTCCCTTGAACGCCTTCTTCTGTCGCAGCACTTCCTCGCAGCCTCTCACGTAGTATGTTTTCTCGGTGATACAGGTAGAGTGAAGATGTCTTCTTGCACCGCCTTCCCGTAAGGGGTGTGCGCGTGCGCAACAAGACGCGGGAATATCTCGTTGTAAGATGGCATAGTCTTGGGGACCGTCTACGCCGCAGCACTGGTTCTAATAAAGAAAGAATGTATACGCTTACTATATCCTTAATATCATTTCTCATAATTCTTCGTATATTTCAATAAATTAGGAAAAATGCATGAATCGTCTGCAGATTTTTAGCGATATCTGCTTATTAAAGGTAGAAACAAACTGGTTATTATCAGAAATTGTTACTTCAGACTGTAATTTGTCCCAGAAGGCCTGCTGGTTAGGTCCTTCATCATCGACTGTGATGTTCTTATAGAACTGCAGCCTGAGCTCACTGCCCCCTCCGACCCAGGCGTTTATGACTGCACTCCCCACTCCTACCATCACCTCTACCGATAACAGGAACATAAGGAAACAGGCGTGCTGGAAACAGGTTTGAGAACGGGTGTAAAATATAAATTCATCCCAAAAACTGAAGATAGCTGCTTTAAACGATACGTAAAATTTGATTATAGATTTCTTATAAATATGTAAAGAAAAGAATAAAATATGACACATAAAGATCTTAGACATATTTTTTTTATGGAAATTGTGATACGTAACTATCAAATTCTCTTATTCGCTATTTCCAATATCGATTCTATAAAAATTTACTATCCGATACTCTGCTATCATTAAATATAGATAACATACCACGTATAGAATCTTGACATTTTCTCTCAAAGAGCCAATGCAGCCTAGCACAGCGGTGACAATCAATCCAAATCCCAGGGTAAGGATAAAAGACAACACTCCCCTGGACAGTGAAGATGGCTGTTCGCGTTGAGCTCGATCACGCATATTGATCACACATATCGCCATCAGGACCAACCCGAACAACTGCACAGAAATATGTCAGCTTCAAAATCAACACAGCATTAAACATCATATAAAAACTGTATAACATTTGAGACTCTATTAAAAATTCCCAAAGAATTTCCGAGAACAATGATTCAGCGAATTGGTGCTTGTATTCAAAACCAATTATCGCGATCAATACATCATGGAAACATCGATCGGACTCACAATGAATATTATGTTAAAGAGCGCCAGAAAAAACTTCATGCATCTAATGCTTTTGGGTTTCATTATGAAAGGTCCGTTAGCAGCAGCGTGTGGGCGGCAAATGACCCATGACTGTATCGACCATGCATTCTATTGAACGTTATGGCCGCGATGGTGTGATAGGCAGAGCGTGCTTTATATTTCTTTTTATATTTCTGGTATTACCCCTTTTATTGTTTACACTGCGTGCTAACGACGTATCACCTATTTGTATGGAACTTTGTATTATTTGTGTTTTTATAATTTAATCGCCCTGAATTTCCGTTTTCATGTTTCAAAGTCCGCTCTCTCGAGTTTTCTTTGTTGTAATTAAATTTAGATCGTGGGAAAAGGAATATCCTTTCTCCATTTGTCACTGACGTCTTTGTTCTAAACGTGTTGGTATATTATTATAAACTCTATGTATATTTTAATACGTTTCATATTGGATTGACGAACCGTAATAAAAATGCTCATCGATCGCTCAATGCAATATTCATATCATAAATAATTAACTTTTCTCTAAGCCACTTCGACCTCTTAATTCCCATATTGATTTATTGTTAAATCCATGAACACTTTTTAATTATTGAGGCATTAGTGACAGGTAATTATATAGTAGAGTTATTAATGCTTCAAATAAAATGTGTATTTACTTATAAAACTCTTTTTTGATACAATACTAGTCACAAATTTGGTATGGATTTTGCATGCCTATGTAAGTGTGATGAGTATCTGTTATACCCAAAATGAAACTGTTTTCTTCTTCTTCTACCTGGCAATTTTCAAAAGAATCTGTTTTCTGTATTGGTAAATCAAAATTGATTTTTTCTAAGTAAGGCTATCTATAAGATCTGATAATAATAGACAAAGACTTATACCCATATGGCATTGATATCTCAAACCCAGCGACTTGACCAATTCTTTTCTTCTTCTACCTGGCAATTTCCCAGCTTTAGCCAGGGTCTGCCTTACATGTTGTGAATAGTTTTGGCTATTTGTTTTTACGACCGGCCGCCTGCCTGACATCAACCCTCTTTTTGGGAATCAGCATTAATCACTGATGTCTAAAAACTCTTAGAAAGTACATATGACTCGGAAAAACCACATTGATACTTGCCCGGATCAGGATCGTACCCGCGCCCTCGTGCATCAGAGACGGGCCTTTTAACCACTAGGCCACCACTGATATGGCCAGAGATTTCACCAATACCAGTTAGTTTTAGAAATTTATATTATAGTAGACATAAAGAACTAGTTGAAAGTTTTGCTCTAATAAACAATAGTCCTTGCTGCACCAACATCACAAAGTATGTGATTATTTGATGACATAAAAGATTACAGCATTATTATAGAGAATATAAGGATCTTATAGAATGTACAGATAAGAAGACAGGCTATACCTGACTTCCAGAAGCAGGTGAAGCAATGTTTTGGGCTAATATCTTGATCATATCAATCAATTTTTCATTCTATATTTTCTTGTATAAGGTTCAATTTGCTCTGCTCTAATAATTCAATAAACATTGAAGTGAATCGGGATTTACAGGATAAAGGCTTAAGTTACTCTAACATGATGAATTATTATAGATTTATTATATCTCATAACTGTGAACACACTGCCTTATGTAACTACGACTAGTGACAGTAATACATCGTTGTTTAAACATTTTAACAAACCTACTTATTATTTTGTTACAAAGACAAAGAAAATAATCACTTTGATATTTCATCCATATAGATATTTCGTTCCTGTTAATAAAATTTAAACAATTGCCATTGCAAATAAATAAGGAGAAGATAAAATAAAGACTCAGTTCATAATATTGATGACTGTATAATTTATTCCCATTTATATAAGATGAAACAAGGCAACATTGAATCTAAAATCTAGGGGCGCCCTTGTAGACGTGAACAGCGTCTCTGGCGTTGTTGGCGACCCACATGGCCAGGAGCATCCCGGCAGCCTGGAACATTAAGAACAGAGACTTGTAGTGAAACAAAAATAAATTACTTTAAGGTATGCATAAAGTCAGTGGTGGCCTAGTGGTTAAAGGGCCCGCCTCTCGTTGCCGAGGGCGCGGGTTCAAACCTGGCAAGTACCAATGTGATTTTTCAGAGTCATATGTAATTTCTGAGAGTATTTACACACCGCTGACATACGGTGAAGGAAAACATCGTGAGGAAACCTGGACTTATAGTTTCACAATTATAAGTTTGAAATCACCAACCCGTCTTGAGTAAGCGTGGTGATTAATGATCAAACCTTCTCCATGTGAGAAAGAGGCCTTTGCTCAGCAATGGGCGCTGATAGGCTGATGACGATGCATAAAGTACGTCGGAGAAATTTTAGGATTTGTAACCCCTCCCCCGTCTTTGTCACATGAGAGAAAACAGCTATTTTAATTTTTTTCTTTATTTTTATTGAATAATAATGTAAGTATTTTAAATTTTAATATGTCACGTCACAAAACTATTGACCCCCCCATACCCCTTGTCACACTATGTCACATTTCGCTAATATTCCCCCCCCCCCCCCATTGACGTGTGACCTTCTTTATGGATGGCCCCAAGTTAAGGAAATAGTTGCAGAAGTTTTGTGGAACTCTTTTTTTTAACGTTATTGTATAGTATTTATTGTTTAACCTCAAACCAGAAGGAAGTAACTGCAACACCGACGAGCCAGTCAGCGTCTGATCGTAAAATATTTCTGATCTCGTCTTCACAGCCCTCCGTGTAATAACTGGCTGTTCTGTAATAAAATTACGATTATAATTATTTATAAAAACTTACTTCTAGAACAATCATTTTTGATTAGTTATATCCGTATTTATTTTATAATGAACGCCTTAGTTATCCACATACAAATTCTCGTCTAACTATTCTGCTCATTTAAGAAATCTTCCTATAAACCGTCATACTAAATTTCATTCCAATAGCTTCAGAGATAATAAAGGCAACTGATTAACATACTAATAAATTAGCTAGTATAGTATTCATGATATTCCTATTTATTGTTTTTTTCCGTAATGTCTTCTAAAAGAAAAACCATATTACATATAGCCAAATAGCAACCCACGATGATTCTAGGATTTTTTCTATATGTTTTTAAGTTCCAAAGTGTTACTAAGACAATCAATAAACTTATAATAAGTAATGAGAATTCTAATTTATATGACCTAAAAAGAAATACGATCTAACAAGTCTCAGCGTTATTTAATTGGTAATGCAAGTCATTCTTACTCGATGCATGTTTTATACAACTGCTGTTGTGCATAAGGGGTCCTGGCGCGATAAGCTCGTGGACAGCATGAGAGTCGTATATGGTGCTGTATAGCAGCGTAATCTTCTGGCCCATTTAGACCACAGCATTCATACTAACAATAGAAAAAAATTTATTAAAATGCAACCAAAAAAGATGGAATTTTCTGCATAAACCAAAGCTAAAGAAAATGCAACGTTAGTACTTGACGAATTCTTTCATATTATCAATTAATAAAAATAAATGGCCTAAATAATAGTAGATAATAATTTAGCTTACTGTCATTTGCAAATCATCCCACAGTTTAAGATGAATTACATCTTCATCTGTGGTGTTACGAAAGAAGTCTTCCCTCAGCCAATCTGACACCCTGAACTCGAGACTGTACCTCTCCACAGACACGTAAATAGCGATCAGCATTTCCACCACAACAAGTATCATCAGCAATCCGATGTACTGAAATGTCCAAAAAACTAATTTAAAATTCCTTAAAAGATACATGCAATAGCCAGTAATCTTCCATTTAAGATTTTCGCGAGTATTCATTTAAATGAAACTAATAGTTTCGGATTCTTACGCGTTATGTAATTCTGCATTATCTGAAATACAGATTATTAAACAATTATTTGAAAATCACTATACTTTTGTTACTATAATATCACCAATAGATCTCTTTGTATTTTTGTTGCCATTGTACTTTTGAAAGTTGATTAATTATTATAATTGTGACGAATTTGGAGTTAGACTTTGTTCTCAGCCATAATAATGAGACTTATTTTTAAGGATATGTCTACATTTTTTTTTTGTTATTTCTCAATTGACACTTCTTTATTCTATATTTTATTATAACTACTATAAATTTTCGTTATTTATAAACCATACTAGCTTTCCGCCCGCAGCTTCGCCCGCGTGGAGTTCGGTTATATCGCATTTCCAAGAGTACCTTTCAAAAGTCTGGGATAAAAACTATCCTATGTTCTTTCTCCAGGTCAACTCTATCTCTGTGTCAAATTTCATTAAAATCAGTTCAGTGGTTTAGGCGTGAAAATGTAACAGACAGACAGACAGACAGAGTTACTTTCGCATTTATAATATTAGTAGGGATTTGTGAAGAATTTTGCTATTTAAAACCGTACGATATAAAGGACTTTGATGTTCCCCTTGACAGCGCCGATCGATCCCAAGGCCGATACCGATATCAATAATAGGCAGGCCACGCTGATGATGATGTCTCCAACGAAGGTTCCACTCGCACGCTCCTCTCCATACTGCTTCACGATTTTCGTGTCCACCACCGCGAAAATCAGGGTACATAGAGCCAAGAGCTGGAATGAGATTCCCAGTTAATTAAAAAGTTTTTTCAATACAATTTTTTTTACAACGTATGGCAAATTTCCAATAAATATACTTACAATGCAACACCCATTCAATACTATCAAAAGACTCCGAGCGCAGCTTTTACTTATTTGGGCGAAATTCACAAGCATTTTCGTTAATCCGATACTATTTATTCGTACACAGTCACTAGGTGAACCATTTGACATTGACTAAACTATGGGCAACTTCTTTGTATAGTCCATTTACAGTAAACCACATAGATAACGAATATACATTGATATTAAACGCTATTATAAACCATATTACTGATACTTTATGACTAGAATTCCATGCACAATTATTAGCATTAGACTGATTATCCTGAGAATTAACAGTTGATACAAGACAATTAATTCTTCATATAAATAATATATAGTTTGAAATTACGTGAAGGGTACTTAAAGAAAAGAAAATGTTTATGTCACCCACTTATTATATTAAAACACGTTTATGTAAATAAAACATTTATTCTTACAAATACAGAAGAATAATAATTAATAAATTAAATAGTATAAATAAATAATTACTATTATATAGTAAATGATTTATGGACGGGATGAGACAAATAAAATTTATGCCAACAGCAAAAGTAACGAAGTATTATTGTAGTATCATGGCCAGAATCAATAAAAATATTGAAGTTCCATAAGAGATGATGGTTGTTGAAGCAACACTAGCATCCCACCCCACTACAGGACTCCTGAAATAAGAAAAAAACAACTCATTATCTGAAAAAATGAGCAAAATTCATCTCATTGACTACTTATGATATCTGTATAAATAAACGTTTAAAGTTAAAATTACCGAAATACATTCAAATATGTTCTGTTTAAGCGAAAAATTAACTAAAAAAATGTTAATTAGTTTTTGCTATGGCAGGGTTGTCATATATTTTTCTTATTATTTAAGACCCGTATTCTGAACCTAAATGTAAGTAGTGAATAGTGTATTACGTCATTTCAAATACATGTTCAATATCATATCATAACGACATCAAAGGAATTCGTAATGTATAAAGAAAATGACAAATATTTTATAATTACGGACAAAAAGACTGTTTAAGGGCACACCACCCTTTTGACATAAATTTTAGTTATAATTTTCACAAGCATTATTAGAATTATTAAAGATTCCAAGTTAAAAAAAATTAAGTTATTTCGTTTATTTGAGTATTTCTCGTTTATGTATATGTTTCTAGTAAAATACTATATCAATTCAAGTATGTAATATTATTTAGTAATGTTACTTTTTTTTTATGTTGGCAACATTACATTACTCCTATGCATTGCTGTCTTTTATTTTCATAGATTATTTAATCGTATTTATTTAATGTACTGAAATACTTAGTATAACATAGGTTAATAAAAAAAAAACAATTTTTTATGCTATGGCTTCATTCACACTAAAATCGTGGAATATTTTGACAATGTCAACGTCTTTTTTTGTTGGACGAATTATAAAATATAATCCTGATTACTATGTGGAGGAAACAGAAAGGAGTTTGTCGAATGAAATAAAGGCCTTTATTTAATTAATATTATTATTATTTGAAAGAAGTCTCGAGTTATATTATTACCAGCATCTAGAACAAGAAACAATATATAAATAATAATTAAGAAGAAATATTTTATTACACATTTCCACGCGATACTCTTATTCGTCATACGACTTTCTCTCAAAACAATAATATGTAATTACAATGCATATAAAGATTAAGACGATTATCATTAGAGGTCATTATTGTCATTTCATACATTTAACCTTTGTCCATTTTATCTTTATTTGTTTTGATAAACATATTTTCATTTATAAACGATATTATTCTATGTCCTTGAAATCTGTCCGAAATAAAATAGTTCAAAAGGTACCTTTCTTATGTGAATTCAGTAAGAGTCTTAAGTATTATAAACAAAAATACTTTGCAGTAGTTGTAACTTTATTTCATGCTCTTCAAACTCTGAAAGCTTGGTATACAACTTTGTTTTATAAAAGGTTTTAATTACAATAACACAGTACAGTGCATTCCAAAAACATTTTTGTTCGTTTTTATTTAAAATTATACTTAATTACATCAAATTTGTGAAATATCATTGTATGTTAATGAAATGGTATTATGAAACATAATATTTATAGAGAGATACGTAAAAAGAGTCAGTCAGGAGTCAGGAGTCAGACAAATATTTCAGTCATAATCATAATCATAGGTAATAAAAATCGCATATTATTACAGGATGCCGATGACTCCACAGGCGACCCTTCCACCAGCGTTGCCCGTCTTCCTAGAGTCAGGATGGTCAGATCTTCCAAAGTCATCAGCCTTTTCGTGTAAAACAATCGCTCTACCAAGAACATTATGGGGACCGTACAAAGCGATCAATTTGTCTTCGAAATGGATGTTACTGATTCTATTCATATCAAATTCAATGTTCCCCAAGTCACCAACATGACGGACCGCGTCGCTGGGATGGCCGTGGTCTTGCTGCGAACGATAAATTATCACCTTCAATAAAATTTACTGATAGGGGAAAGTTACAGTTAGTATGTAAAATTATTTGAGCAATTTCACGTCCTTAGATCTAGTGGTCAAACTATCAAAACCTTGTCCGACTTTGGTCTTGATTTCCTAAAGCATTATTGTTCATGCAAAAACTCCAATACAAACAAAATGGTGTACAATATGATGAAACAGTTTTAAGCTTTCTATAAATCCAATTCACCTTCTCAGGATTGAAATGCGACCCAGTGGAAATACAGCCTCTAGTTATGTCTCCAGTTTCATGTACGTGGAAGCCGTATTGTCCCGGAGGCATACCGTAGATAGAACCTTCAACAAGCACCCTGCCCTCCAGCTGAGTGAGGGTAATATTCCCATTGACATCACGACCGTCGGGACTCGAAAGTTTAACTATCGCTCTCAAGGGTGCGTACTGGAAAATTACCAAAAAAATTACACCGAATAAATGATGAGTAGCTGGAAATACATTACAAGATATAGTTATAGGTAAATGATATAAACTTTACAGATAAAAAATGTACTAATTTTGAAATAGGACTTATATTTTTAGGATATACTATAGAATTTCATATATGTATAGTTTATTTAGGCAAAGACCTTAAATTTGTAAACGTATTTAGACTTATCTCTTGAGATGCGACTGTAATTCTGATTACATCTAATGATTATATTCAAAAATATTGGACATTATACTTATTTACATTTTTCTTATAGTTATAATTCTAGTACTCACCCCAGCATTCTGCGCTGTTACAATAACGGCAGTCAGCGACAAAAATAGCAAATGATAAATCATTTTTATATTACAGTCTGAAAAAAAAACAAATGCATACTTGTTATTAAAAAAAATATTTGCTAAAACAAACCAAAAAATATTGTAAACATAATTTGCTTCATTTATATGGACTATCAATGAATTTTAGCGTTTTTTGGCACAAAGTACTGGCTCATTTAGTAAAAACTCAAGGCAAGTAGAATAAATAACTCAGATTATTCCTTTGTTAATAGAATAATAATCTAAAAACACGTCAGCCTATCCATGTGAATTAATTTCCTTAATAAAACAAAGACAGTGATGTTAGTACAAGGAAACTACATCATTAATAACTGAATGAGGCTATATCTGTTGTATTACCATCAATGTTTAATGTGTCATGTGATTACTATATACCAATAAAATGCTGCTCTATACTATAAAAGTTTATCAGACAATCAATAGTTTCTAATATATAAAACATGTCGAACATAAGATCTATCTGCGTCTTCTACTTGGTCCTTATTTTGTGAATCTATTACAGTCTACCGGTAAATAAAATGTATGCTTGGATTTAGCTTATTTGGGTTCGAAAAATCAAATGAATTTTAAGTTATGAGATGTAAGACTCTCGCGAGTATTCATTTAAATGAAATTAATATCTTTCGGATATACTCAATAAAGCACTTTATTGAGTACATCCAAAAAATATGAACTTCATTTTAATTTTAAGTCTTAGAAATCAACGAATCAAAATGTAGGCAGAAACCGTCTCTTATTGCTTTAAATCGTAAAGTCACATGTACAGTCTAAAAAACAAACTTTAGTTTGAAAATATGTAACCAGTCTATACATTTTTTTCTTTCAAAAAAGTTTTATTAAAAAAAAAAGATATTTTTTTTATTGAGTCCCATTGTTTTTGTCGACGGTATATTAAAAAAATTGAACAAAAACAAGGACAGGAAAATATGTTTCAATATAATATGCAAATTGTTTGTTTACAAACACCTGGTCACTATACAGATGATTATGTTATGACATAATAAATTACCTTCTGTGTGAATTAAGAATTATATATAATAATATTATTAAGAATTGAGTTCCGTTATTAATATTGCAAATGCTCAAAAAATTTGTATGTCGAGTTGCATCACTCAATAACTTGTTTTGTCCAAAAAAAATAAATATTAAGTGCGAATTTTTTCTTTATCTCATATAAATTATATATTATTTCAAATTATTCTCGGAAGCAAATTATTATCACGTTAATAAACCTCCTTTCTCGTATTGTTAGAATATACGTAATCATCAGAAAAAAGTTACGCAATTTCTTGTTTATATCTGACAATAAAAATTATAAAAACATCCAATTCAGCAAAATATTCCGCTCGTCATTGAGCAACGGAATCAATTCGAAAAGTTATTGCAAAATTGTTTTATTTGAGAATTACTTAATAGATTTTCAGATACATTGAAGACCTTCATTTGAATGGATTCCAGTAATGTTCGTAATTTTGTTACTTTAAATTATTTTAAAGTCCTATAAATATTATTTATAAACAATTAAGATGAAAGAGGAAGCTTATGACTTATTTTAAAAAAACGATGTCATTGGCAAAATATTCGACGATTCCAGTGCTAATGAAGATATATATTAAAATTTAAAATCAAAAACAAGAACTAATTTTAATTATTGCCCAATATCTAGAACTTGTTTTTATGTTTCAAACATTTAAGTGCTTTGAACCATTTCGCGACAACGTATGTATGTAGTCATTTCGAGCTAATTAATTCCGCAAAAACGTCTTTTAATTATACATTTTTAAATCTTTGATTGTTATAACTTATAACAGGTTTGAATGATAAATAATTGAAAAAAATCGGAAATTATTTTAATGTTTACGCAAAAATTGTCCTAAATTATTATGCAATTTAATTCTATATGTAACTAATTAATGAATTGCAACATAATTTATTTTCACCGCATGCTACTGATATGTGACATCATATAATAAAATAAGCATAGATATACACATGCAAATTAAATATGAAAGTTCTTTGTTAAGTTTATAAATAAATAAAAAATAAGAAATTTAAAATAACATTAACTTTTGTATTATTGGGACAAGCATACCTAATAACTAATTATCGAAATTATTTCAACTAACACCGATTAAAATATCACTTTCAAATAAGACCGCGTCATGTTAGGTTATAACAAAAGAAAAACAACCAAAAATATTGTGCAATTACAGAAACTAAATATATTTAGGAGTTTTACAATTTCTTTAATGTCACAGCAAAAACGAATAAGTAATTTGTATTTACTTACATATAGTATGTAAAAGTAAATATTATTAAAGTAATAAATATTATCTTATCCACGCCGTACAAGCAACTCACCTCGCTAGCAGATGTAGAATGATCATATCTAGTTCGTGGTCATACATATTGCAAGTAACCGACCATTGTAACCTGATCTATTTTGTTCCACTTAACTTCAACTGAGAGCATAAATTGTCATACACTATTCACGGGAAGAGGTTCAAGTTATGATGGTCCACGACCGGTTTAACCTATTCAATACAAGCGGGGTTACACGTTCTCTGTATCTGTGGTGCACTAATATACAGTTTTGTAATGTTTTAGTGACGTACGTTTGGGATGTTTAAATAAATAATAGATTAATAATATAATATTAATAATAAAAAATTATTTTGGAAGTCTTAATGTAGAGTACATTTAAAATTAGAGCGATGAAAATTTTATTAAAATCAAGAAATCAGTTGTACTAAAAATAAGCAAAAAGCTATTAACATACAGCACTACTTGTTTCAAATAAAATATTAACATATTCCAAAAAATATAAATAAAATTAATAAAAGTTTGGTTGAGTCATGAGTGATTCACTTTCTTCCAATAAGAATCTTAATCTATTTGTTCTAATACATAAGGACAGTATCTCTTTTCACACATGTATAACAACAGAAAAATAATCAAATTCTTCCTATATCAAAGTAAATAAGAGTAAGATTTTAAATTAATACGATAAAAATCATTAATTAGGTATAACTCAAGACCCTAGCCAAAACGAGCAATTATGTTCGGCTGCTTATAAAAATCCAAAAAGAAACATACTACATATAATAAAATACATAAACTAATATGAGTAATATGTTTATTTATAGTGTTAATTAATTATTTTTAACTTTAATATTTCATTTAGCAACATTTCCATAAACAGTGTTGGCATTTTCTCCCAGAGTTCGCTTCCCGTCAAGCCACTGCTAGTGATTGCACAATGTTTAAACATCCAGATATTAAAAATACAACAACGAATGTTAAATATAAGGAAAATGTTAATATTTTTTAATGTAAACAACTTTTTGTTTTCACCCACATCAAAACGTGAAGCATTGAGGAAAATTTACAAATGAATTATGTAGTTTCATTTCATAACGGCTTTGGATAAATTTTAATCAATTTCATATATTCGGCTAGTCAATGTATATATTTGAAAATGTATATGTACGAAAACATGCTTTAGATTATAATTTAGTAATTTATGATATATTAAAAATGTGATTAAAAATATATCTTACATATTATAAATGTCATACAAAAAGAAAGACAAAGGAGTGTCTAACTTAATAGATGATGTGTTTCTAAGTAGTAAATGTAGCAAATTTATAATAATTACTAAAACATATTTGACTAGTTACAAAGACTTTAAACAACACGTTTTGAAACTGATAATTGTTCGAATAAATCGATCGAAAAAATATTGAAAAACATTGAAAAAAAGAGAGGGGAAAGACTTTTGAAAACTATTCACAAACAGTATCATAGGTCATTGAGTTTAACTTGATATAAGGTTTATTATAAGAGAACAGTAATTATATAAGATTAAAGAAGTTAGGCGATATTAAAGAGTTCCTTTACTTCTCTTAAATAAAACTTCTCAGTAATTCCAACGTGGTACCTACTCTATATAAATAAACAACTCGTTTAAAACAAGATGGAAACATCTCGACCATGAGCTTGGCTTAACTTATAATATACTTGCTTTGAATTATGAAAATATTTTAAATAGAAAAACTATTTGATGAAGAGGCCATTAAAATTTTAATTGTTTATATTGGAGGGATCACGGTTGCTGAAAAGTAATCGAAACGTCGAGAGTATGTAGCTTTTACAATAAATAAAAAACCCAATGTATAATCCAAAATAAATTAGTTCATTTAATTTAAGAAACTCCTAATATGTTGTTTGTGGTATCAATTCAGTAAATGTACCCACAATGAGAGCTATGAACTATCTCGAAGGCTAGTAAATTTTAGCCACATCTCTGTTGTCACGTATTGATAAGAGACCCAAGATTAACACTCAAAATATATCTAAAGATTATACTTATCTGTCTGAAATAGGATAAATATATTGAAATATTTACATTTCTTGAAGACGAATTAGCAGGCAGATGACAAATAAATATAAGTTGAATCGATATCAATAAAAACATATATTTTGATTACTTTTCCTAACTTTATATTTGTTTTAGTAAAAATTATATTAAATGTATAAACTATTAAAAAGCCTGTAATGAGTCCGTACCATTTATACCTACTGAATTTTTATAATACGACAAGACTAACAACATTTTTTTTTATATATTTTGGGACCTGTTTGACCTCGTTTTGAATTTAAGAAAAATATAAACACAATTTTAACAAATAAGAATTATCTATATACTAAAATTATTAAACAAATTATATACTTGGGAGCTATTGACAAAAATAAAATATTTTTATCAACATCTGTGATATTACGGGATTTCTGTTAGTAGGTTCAAGCATTTTCTAATGCAACCGAATGACGTCGGTACCATTCTGTAGTCAGGTTTCATACTCAGCGTGAAATTCATCAGATCCCTGGCCAACATCAAACTGTCTTGACTGGTGTATAAAATAACTAAAAAAAACTTTCCTAGATCTAGCATTTCTCATTTTTCATATAATAACCTAGGTTAACACCAATATTCAAGAAATTATACCAGTAAAAAACTGTTTAAGGTGATATTTTAAGCAAAATTATTTAAATATCAAAGGATGCTAAGTTTTCTTACACATAAATTAAATAAGATGATTGTTTCTTAATATGTGCTAAGTAAACGTGATATTTTATGCTTTATTTCTCAAATAGACTTTTATATTATTTCCTAATATATAAAATAATTAGAGACATCTTAAAATAGACAAAAATAATAATCACTTTAAAGTAGTATTCAGATATTATGTGAAGAGATGTGATACAAAAATTAGGTAGAATCTATTAGAAGATATAATTCAGAATCTATATCAGAACGACGATTATTCTGTTGAATTAGACGATACGAAACCTCTCATAATTCAATGTATTCACCGTGCGGTTGTCGGGTCCATCGTTGTAGTGAGAGGAGCTTCAAGAGTGCCGGGGACTTGCGACCCAAATGTAGGGTTAACTTTTAACTCTATCGCGCGATAAACGCTCACCTCCACGGTTCAAGCTCCTCTCTCTACCTAACAAAATGTGGAAAGAACATACTAGAGCTGCTTAATTAATGTACAAAACCTTACACAAATAAATGTTACTACCGATATAAAAAAATGCGAGATCGTGTGGGCTGTTTTCCTAATATTTTTACTGTACGAATATCCCACTTCAAACCCTTTCTTGTATATAACAAAACAAATAATATATTCCTCTAAAATAATCCTAATACAGTTAATATTAAAGAGTGTGTAATTAAAATCCTCTATAACAAAATTTCTTTACGATATATCTTCGAGACGACATAAAACATATCGAAGCCGTCAAAGAAATGTTCAAACCATACGTTAATTACAAAAGCAACACTCGAAGCTTGAGAGCCTTGTTCTAATTCAACTTAAAGTTCAATACCGGCGTCGGTAAAAGTACGTCTTGCCCTTACTACAAGTTTGCAAGTCACATTACGATCACGTTTACAGTTTTCCATTCAATAACTAATATAATGCGAGGTTGTGTATGAATTTGAAACTAGAAATACTCCATATTTAGTGTTTATAAACTTGTAGTAATGTTATATTTGTGCATGTTATATTAATTAATTGTCCGAGGCTCAATACGATCAATGTTACGTTCAGAAATCTGTGTCACCTGTTACGACATATTGTTGAGTATGTTGCTCGTACCGATATTATCATGAAATTGTTAAATATTTGTGAACTAAAATTTGCAAATCATCAACAATATTTTTCCTCTAACTGAAATTAAAAATATATGAAAAGCGTAGACAACGCCATCTATTGTCCATGACTGATTATTTCCTCAAAATACAACAGTCACGTTATATTCAAAAAATTGCAAGAAATGAATTATAACGTGTATTAGGTAATTAGATACATTGGCTATATACCTGAAAATTTTCATCAAAATCCTTCGTGCAAAAAATTAGGTATTGAAAATCTGTACCCAATTGTGTTCAAAATTTTACGATGACATTTAATATCCAATATTAACAACCTTTTTAAAATGTTATATATAGGGGTAATGTAATAAAATGAAGATAACTCTAGAAAAATATGTAATGTCTATGATAATGATATGATAACTGCAAATAAATTTATCTCTAAATATATATTTAAGAATCCTTAAATATACCACGCATTACCAAATATATTTTAAAAGTAAAAAACCTACACTACACTTTAGCATAGTGAAACTACAAACATATGTAATTTTAGAATCCCGTAGGAGACTAAATCAATATTAATTATTATTAACTTTACAATTTCTATGTTATGGCAACATTTAAAAAAACCACAAAGAAGGCTTAAGAGGACTCGTATCCAGAGCCGTAAAAACTAAAAATATTTACAAAAAAAAATAAGCCCACAAACACAATAATTAAATATCAAATATTATATAGTTTAATACAAATAATGTTTATTTCTTTAATGTATCAAAAGATAGTTAAAACGTAACTCTTGTTACGGACCGTAGATTTAATTCGTGACACGTTTAATAACGTACATCGGCCTTAACCTTGAAGTATCTTTTAATGTACGACTAACTATTAAATATCATGATTCATTTAAAGGTTTCATTTATTTCATACAAAATTTGACGGCACTAAAACATTTGTACTTTAATCCTATTAAAGAGATTTTGTGACAGCTATAGCAAATCGCCATTTTTTTGTTACAGGTAAAACTGTCTTTAAATCTAAGTATTAAATAAATATTATTGATCTGGAGCAATATCTTATTACATATCTCCCAAAATATGTAATAAAAATAGTACTTACGTTAAGATTTCTCCAAATATGTCGGTAATTATGTTATGAACACTAAGAAAATCACGATTAAATCACTTTTTGTCCCAAATAAACTACATAACAGTCAAGAGTCTTGTTGCAACTTGCAATGAAGAAATTCACGCGCACTGAGACAAGACGTCTCACGCTCATGATAAGAAACCTTCGACACAATTACGTAAGAAAGTAACACAGCCTTTAGAACATCTATATCTAGATTTTGGTACACATTAAATAATTAAGATTTACTATCAGGAAGTCAAGGACATTTATACGTCAAATATAGCTATTTATTTAATTCTCATTAAAAGAAAATCGTTTAAAATATTAGGATTTTTACTATATTCTTGTTAAGGTTATGAGAGAAAATCAATAATCAACAAGATTTATGTTTATTCAAATAAAAAATAATCCAATTTTAATACATAAAGCAACTAAATAATTCAATTTATTATTGATGCACCTCCTTATATTTTTATGGTATACAATGTTATCTTCTACGCTATTGCTCTATAAATTTGGCAGGCGTTATAAATATGATTTTAAAATATCATTTCGCTGATAGATTTAATTTCGTATGAGATTTCGTCTTGACTTGAAATAATTCCATGTAATGTATTACTGGGATAATAATCAAGAATGATAATTGAACTGCCTTAGTTCTTTTTGATGTAATATTTCTTATATCTTCTGTCTTCGGTGTTGTGTATTCTATCCAGGTTGTGATGAATGGCTCGCTGATAGAGTAGCAGGTAGCGGTGGAGCTGGTTCTCCCTGTAGCTGGGACAGAGCACATCTGACAGCTGACAGCATCTCAGGAGTGGACTTCCTTCCTCGTGGCGCGTGAGGTCGATGTGGACGAGACATACGCTCGCCGGTCGCTGTTGATTCTATTGAGAAAAGTTATTTCCTCTTAGTAATTACCAATAAAATACCTTATAATATAACACAGCTATAAAATTATATTTGATCTTATTTGTACTCATTTTCCTCTTAAATACTATCAATAAAATAGCTTAAATATAACAAAGCAATAAAATAAAATAATATTTGATCTCATTTTTGAACTGAACTCATTTTTATTTATTATTTGCCTCACTATGTACACGTTGTAATTTCTAAATGACATTATATTAAAACGTTTGATTTCATTATAGAATCCTATTTCTATTAAATTTCCAACAAATCAATCTCCATAAAATTCATATACGGAATCAAAAATCCATATGGTCCCTTATACAAGACACATTTGTTCATCTTATAATTTCCTTCAGTATACATACGATTGACTCTCGGGCGTTCCCTCTCCGTTTCATCCAACTTCTCGCAGCAAGTACAGAAGTAGCAGGGTATACCTGGTACTCCACAGCAGAGCGCGCCCCACAGCCACCTGTTCAGGGTGCTGCCGGCCCTGGACCAAGCCGTCGGCCTCCCCTGATGGTCGTACACGAAATCCCGATTCATTACTCCCACATTATTTTTGTTTTTTATTCTATATTATATTATTGTACTTGTTTGTTTTGATGTCTCTGACGCTGTCATCGTGACGTTGTTCATTTGTGATTTATATTTATAATGTTACTGTTGTGATGTATAAAAAAGTTACGTATGGAAGTCTAGTTTAAATTATGTCTTAGTTATTTTAAAATAATATTTTGTTCTCCTTATGAGGGAAGAAATACTAGAGAAGTTTGGGTTACTTTGATAGATCATATGCAAAAGATTAATAAAATATTTCTGAGTTTTGTCTATTGTCTCCCATCTACAACCAATTTTGAAACCATACTTTTTCGAACCCGTGTTAGTCATTGAATTTCATTTGACGATTACCGTTACGATTGTCAAGCGTGAAGCACCAGGTATCATATCATTTTGAAAGAGCAGATTTTTTATATAAACTCTGGCAAACAAGAAGACAGCCTATTTGATGGAAGGTAGTCACCGTCGCCCATGGACATCTGAAACATTAGAGTATTGCGGATGCGTTTCTGACCTTTTTTTTTTTTTTTTTTTTTTTTAACGGGTGGGAAATCCTCATGGATACCACACGCCCCGGGGGGGGCGTGTGATTATGCCGGACTCTTACCGGCTAAAACCCACCCGGTTACCCTCAGCCGCTATGAGGGGACTACAAGGGGTCGCTTGCGCATTCTACCTCGTAGCCCCGGCGACAGCGACCCGCTCCTAAGGCGGGTCTCTCCCTATGTGAGGGCGCTCCGGTAAACTTGAGCGCCCTTCCTCCAGGAGGCCAGTGACAGCAGGGCGGACGGTCCCCCGACCAGTCCGCCCTCTGACCTCCTAGGTGGACGGAAGGAGGTGGGCGTACCTCCTCCTTCTCACCCCGAGGCGGCGGCGGCGCATCTGGTCCGAGTTGATGTTAGATTCTCGGACCCGCTCCGCCTCCTCCTTCTGCATCAGGACGACTTCGCAGAAGGAGGTCATGGCCCTCCAGTTCTCCTCACTCTCGAGCATCGACGCCAGGATACTCGAGAGCAGTGGCGGCTGTACCTTAAGTGCGCCCGTGCGCTGAACCACCAATTCAAAATATTTAAAAATTACAAAATATTATGTCATCTTAATTTTTAAATTACCATTTTAATATTTATTTTTTAAACATACAAAAAGGTATAAAAAATTTAATTTCCAATTATGGTCAAAAAGTTTGAGCGCTTTACTAAACTCATATCGTGCGCTCCGGCGAGTGCACGAGGACTGCTAATACATCTTGTATGAGACACGCATCAATACGCCTGGCGCGTGAGACAAAAGATAGTTCATACAAATGTACCGAGTAACGAGTCGGTTCTCGCGCGCCGCACGAAGCGGCCGAAGGTTACCGAGAGCACCCGATGTATGACGTATTGAGCCGGCCGGCAAGGGGCCGGCCGAAAGGATGGGTGCTATGATTGACATTTCGTTAATCGTTATTGGTATTGTTTCAACTTTCACTGTATGCGTGACGCGTTAATTCGTTATTGTTTATAATTATTTCCGTAATTCGTTTTAGTTTTTATTTCGTTTCTATAATAGAACTTTTATTCTGTACTGTGTTTTTTATTAGTTGAAAATGAGTATAAATATTGATTATATTAAAGAAAATAACAAAATTTTTCAAAGTAAAGTGAACATAAAATTGGCCGGGCCGCCACGGCCCTTTTTAAATTTAAAACAAGAGTGTAAATCGAAAAATAAAGCATTTATACGAAGTTTTAAAAGTGAAATGTATAATAGAAAGAAATGGTTGTGTGGATGTGAGCGTCTTAATACATTCTTTTGTTTTCCTTGCATTATTTTTGGCGGAGAATCGATTTGGACAGAAACTGGAATCAGATTTTAATAAAAAGGTGATAGAACATTTCGCTACAGAAAAATGTCGTCGCATTGATTTAATGTACAAAAAATAAACATATTTTATGTCAATTGTTGTTTTTGTCAATATTTTAGTAAAGTGAACCACCAGTTTGATAACCCACCAGCCGCCACTGCTCGAGAGCGCGAGGTCGGTGCCAACCACTTGCGTGAGGTCGTGACGCTGACGACTGAAGGCTGGGCACACTTCGAGGGTGTGCCGTGGCGTGTCATCAACGTCTCCGCAGTGGTGGCACTCCATCGTCGGCTCGCGCCGAGCGACCCTGTGCAGGTAGTGTCCGAAACAACCATGTCCGGACAAAACCTGCACCAGCCGGTAGGTGAGGACGCCGTGTTTGCGCCTCGACCAACGCTCGAGGACGGGGAGTAGAGCGTCGATCGTCCACCGGCCGAACTTCGCCTCCTGGAGAGCCATGGTCCACCTCCTGTGCATCTCCGCCTCGCCGTCGCGGCGCACTTGGAGCAGCTCTTCGTTCGTATGCGTTTCTGACCTAGGTTGTGGAAGAGGAAGAGGAAAGAGTGAGAAAAAAAGGGCATCTAACTCGTTCACTCATCGGACGAAGGAACTGGGCTCTACCTAGTAAAATAATACTTTTACACTGCTGCATTGATATTAACCAACCAAATAACTTCTAACACATCTACTAGGTAAAACTACATTATATAACTTTCAAATAAATAGAACATCAACGAATTCGGTTCATCTGTTTGAGAGTTATTATGTCAGAGACAAACAGACACATATTCAGACACGCAAAATAGCCATTCATGTCAAACTTATAACACCCCTTCTTACGATGGTGATTAAAAATTCCTCATACCGCTCCATTTGTCCATCAAACGTCACAATTTAACAAAGTACAGATTAAATGAATGCCGCCTCCTTCTTACATTAATATCAATGCAAATACAATTGAATTTATTAAACGCCATAATACAACCGATCGTTTATATTTAAACGGCGCACGAACTAACTGCCGACTTCCAGTCATTGAAGAGTGGCGTATCTAAATGTCTACGTCACGCCTCAGTCACGGGCCTTGTAAGCTCACGAAGACCTAATGACAGACATCCAAAAAGTACAACTTATTTTTATTACGTCCATCAAACCATTGATAGCCGGCCATTTGCAAAGTCAGCACGCCTCATAGCTTCCGTTGATTAAGGCGTTAATATAAAAAACATATATATATTTAAATAATCAACAATGAACTTAAGGTTGCACGTATTTTTCAGCCAGTTCTTGTGGCTTGTGTCCGTGTTGAAGGGGAAAAGTCTTCAAGGCATACCGGGCTATGGCAGGAATTTGCTGATCAAAACAATACCCGCTGTAGAAGATTACCAGAGCAATGTTTACGAAGTATTCATGGAGCCCTACTTATATGTGAGTACATGACAAAATATTTATACAAATAATTCAGCCAGTATTAAGGAAAATAATAAAAAAAACACTTATTTATTAAAACTTTAATCGAATAACGCAAATAAATACATATAATTCCTAAACCAAATATGTTTAAACTTATTAAAAAGTAATTTATTTTACATGAGGTAACATTTCAAGTAACTCAAATTAAATGTGAAATACAATTAGCGATGTTTTTCTACGGTTCATTGTACTTTTTAAAGATCTAATCACATTTTTCATCAGACGTCTGAGTGTTATGTGTAATTTAAAAGCTTTTTTATCGATTCAAATAAAACCGGTAGCGGTACTTGATTGCAATTTGTGACAGGAAAGAATGACAGCACTATATTCTGGGTACTGCATGAGTCATACAAAAAAAGATCTCGATTTATCTGTTTATTGGTATTATAAAATAAATATTATAAAATAGTATGTTACTCAATTAAAAAAATATTATAATACATAATATTGCGAATAGAAAGTAGAACACATTTTCATAGAATATAAACATACATATTTTGATGTTTTTAACTACATATCTCTGTAGGCTTATTACAAGTTTGAAACTTCACACTCAAAACAGAAAGTTGTCAGTTAAATCTTCTCAAATTATTGTGTTAAACTAAAAGATATACGGAAATCATACGGAGGCATCATCATCGATAAAAAATTACGTTTTCACACTCATATTGATTCCATTTGCTCAAAGGGATTTAAAAGTCTTGGCTTCATCTTGCGCAATTGTGGTGATCTGAAAAATCCTTCGACTTTGATCACATTGTACAACGCTTTTGTCCGTAGCGGACTTGAGTATGGCAGCGTAGTGTGGAACCCGCACTACGATGTCTATGCCAAGAGGTTAGAAAGCATCCAGAAACGGTTCCGATGGCATCTTTGCTTCAAGTTCGGCTTGGCAAAAAAGCTCCCAAATTACAACGATCGAATGGCCTTTTTTGGAATGAACACCCTTGCCGATCGAAGACGCTTGTTGGACAACATGTTCATGTATAAATTGATTAATGGCGCTCTGGATTGCCCAGACCTATTATCGAGAATTCATGTATCTGCACCTTCCAAATCACTGCGCACTTGCAAGCGCGCGATTTTTTCCAAGCATATTTCTAAGTCTAATTTGGGTCATTACTCCCCGCTCAATAGAATTATGAGTGCCTACAATTCATTGAGCGGGGATAATGATCTGGATATTTTCGGTAGCATTAGAAAATTTAAGAACAAATTATTATCCCTATACTCTCAAATTATTTAGTTTAGTTTAGTTTAGTTAGATTGTTTTACTTATGTTGTTGTTTTTTTTGTCTCAGTTTATTGTTTGTTAGTTAATTAGTTATTTTTTAATTTCTCTTCTGCTTGTTGTTACCTAATTGTTATGTTTCGTTATTTTTTTTTTTCTTACATACGCATGCTGTTTTCACCTCTAATTAAGATGCCACCTGTATAAATTTTTTATATCCATGTGTATAAAATGTTCCCGGTGTGTATTCTTGTTGGTGTTCTACAAAATAAATAAATAAATAAATAAAAGGCTTCGTATGTTGTGTGAACATACGAATTGTTGTAAACTTACCAATAATTGTTACAAAATTTAATATTTCTCTCAGCCATAAAACGGAAATAAATAAACTATTATCAAGTATCAAAGAATTTATACATTAAACATGTTTCAAATAGTTTAAACACATTATATAATGTATGATGGTGATACAAATTCACTTGTACAAATATTAATCGACCCCGACCTTATTGTTGGAAAATAGAAAAATATATTATTATGTTATTACAGGAACTCGGAACTACCTACCCACTGGACGGAGATCGGTCGCAGAAACAGATTGAAATACCAATTGTAAGGAAAATACTTACATACACACACACTCACATATATACAGGGTGACTGGTGAATTACTATCGATATTTGAGGACGTGATATTTGACGGTCATATATGACAAAATAAAAATTAATAAAACATAAATATTAATAAACTTCTAAGTAAAGTTAACCAAAAGTTATTTAATTAATTACGCATCGTATGAACACCCTACAGATTAGGTATACATACACACACACACACACACTCGCGCGCGGCGGCGTGTTGTTGTATCAGCACGCCGCCGCACGCGTCCACACTTGGAACACTTGGAACGTGTACACACTTTATTTATTTATACGGAAATTTGGTCAAAAATTAAGTACCTATTTTTTTTACATAATTCGAATGAGAATCATGTACTGAGTATGCTCCTTAAATATTGATAGTAATTCACCAGTCATCCTGTATATTCACACATATATACAGTATTTCTAGCGATTTATTAACTAACTAAAATGTATATTTAATTTTGAAAATTTACTCTTAAATTTATCCAACTAATGTTTATCAATATATATTAATTGATTCGTAACAACTGAAATATATGAGACGAAAATTTTTGGACGAAAAAAAGTTTTAAAGTAAGATCACTTAGATTAATATAGTCTTGATTTGAATGAGAGCAATATATATGTTAAAATTACATTATAACAATAAGAACGGTGAAAAGTCATAATTTAAGGTTGGTTGGTTGTTTAAAATAGGGCCTTGATCCGGGCAAAGACGTACACAATATATTCTGAGTGTCGAATCAAAATTTAAATGGTTAAAATAAACCTTTCCGATACCAGGACGACTTACGACACAAGGGTTGCAAACCAGAACAACCTGTCAATGTCTAAACACGGGGTTTCTGTCAATAAAATGCATTTAAAGCAAAATTAAGCTGTACCCATGACTATAAGCGTAAAGAGACTAAATATAGATAGTTTATAGTTTTGCATTCGTCTAACTAAATAAATACCAACAGTTAAACACTTAATTTAATATATATAGTACTTTGGAAAAGAGATTGAATGTCCCCATACGTACATCGACTTTTCACGGTTAGTTAACCACCATCAAACTATTTATTAAGGTATAAAGGTAATAATTTTGTGTTATTACTTTAACGAAGGTTTTCTTCTATTTCTTGTTTGGAGGTAAACATGAAGATCGTATCTGTGTTCAAATCTCCACGCGTTCCAAGTAACGTTTACTTATTTTTCACTTCAAAGTTTTCGAAATGGTTGGGATAACATCACATTGAAATTTTCATAGAAGCAAGTTTCTAATCATATCTACATATGTAATAATTGTTTCAACAACCAAAAAAGATAGATGTATTCAATGAAAACTTATGAAAATTATGAGAAGTATATTTTTTGTTTGTAGAATACAGAATACTCACTCAAAGCTACAAGCAATTTCTATAATTCTTTTAGAAATATGTAATTTTGACTTGTGATCGAATGGTATTCGATGTTTAATTAGTCGAATTAAAAATTAAATAAAAAATACTAACGAATCTAGACACACGCGTATTTAATTGTTGCCATATGCAAAAATAATATTATATATAATTAACGAACAAAAAAATTAAACGTTTCTTAATCAGTTAAACGTGACCAGCTCAGACATTACGGTGTTAACCTCCCATCAATAATCGTACACTCACGATGAGCCAGGGTCTTATGATACACTAAAAAACCCGGAAGATTATCTATGGAGACGTAAGACATTAAAACCTTTTTCGATACATCCTATTAAAAAAAACTATTTTTATATATTGCAACACATGCCAGTGAAATATCATTTTTTTAATTAAAATTTTAGTTATTTTAATATATTTTTACTGTTACGTTCATTAAATACTCAACTTAATTATCTTTAATATAAAATGCGCATATTATCGCAATTCCATGAAAAACAATAGTGGCAATCAACACTTAAAAATCATAAGCCTGTAATTGTTTCCGTATCACTCGTAATCTTTGGATTAATTAAGAAAATTACACTGTCATTATACTGTTTTAATATTTACTTCGTTTTGCACGTAATAAAAAAAATTGAGGAATATATTTTTTTTATATTTCTGTCGTTTATATTAACATTGAAAATATTTTGGAACGCGTTTCCTATTTCTTTGATGGAATAAATAAAAGTGCTCTCTGAAGGATAATTTTTTTTATCACTGACGATAATCTCAAATCCTGATCATAAAAATATTTTAATGGGACGTTTAGAAAATTTTTAAAGTACATACTTAAACCATGATAGACTACTTATTAATCTGATAGATACATTATCAGAGAGAATACATTATTTATAGTAATAAAAGATTTCTACATACGAATAGACCGACATGCGCCGTAAAAGATTTCTAAGTACATAATAATCGGAATTATTTTAGTATCAGTTGCCATAATCGAAACCATAAAATATAATTCAAATTCATTCATTATAATTCAAAATAATTCAAATTCATTCAATTCATTACATAATATAACATACACAACAACAACAACATTAATTTTAAAATATATACCAAAAATATAATACGCAATAAATTATGCAATTATAAAAAATAAATCATTTTTTTTAATATATATATAAGAATAGAATTGTTAATAAGTTTTTTAAAGTCTTTTGAATGATAAAAATCGGTACATTTCGTTATCAAATGACTTTTGTAGTGATTGACAAAACACAATTATCCGAACATCACAGATTGTGCAAGTTACGAGTGACGCGTGCTAGTAATTGCTGTTAGGTTTGTGTCAAGGTCGACATGGAGTTAGTCTTGAAGACTATTGTTGGAAACTTGATGACTATAAGATTGTTATTATTGTTAACTTGGATTACACATTAATTATTACTTATTTTATTTTAAATCTAAATAATATTTTAATTTTATTTTAATTTACCCGATGAAACAAATAGATGTTGAATTTGTTAAACTTCCATGATCCTTTACGACACTTTTTTTGGAAATAAAGACTGATACATGTTTTCAACATTCTTCTTATATATTGATATTTTTATTCAATAATAACAATAAAATTAACATACCTACATATAATATATACTGAACGATTATCTAATAAATATTTTATTTTTATTATGATAGCTTGAAGGATTATTTATATTCACATGTAGTCACAATCGTTGACAGTAATTGGGACGAGAGACAAATATATAATACTACAACGTATCTACAAAAAGTCTTATTTAAATAAAGTGATGTAAACATTTCGCTGATTTGAGTAAAAAAATAGTTTAATAGTCTATCTATAAAATTCTGCCAGTAAAATTTGGAGTTTAAGCTCGAACATTGGCTGGCTCAGATCAGCGTGAAGTAGCTTTTAGTGGCTGCGTTTCGTCCGATAAGTGAGAGAGCCGGTTGCCATTTCCCTTTTTCTCAAACCTTTCCTACCCCTTCCCTTTTTCCTCCTTTTCCCACACTTTCCTTCCCTTCTTCCCTAATCAGGGCTGGTAACACATCCGCAAACTTTGTTGCGGATGTCTATGGGCGACGGCACTACCTCCATCAGATAGGCCGTCTGCTCGGTCGCCATGAAAAAGAAAGTTTCCTTTGAATTTTCAGAATAAAAAGATCCACACGCATAATAGCAATTTTGCGTTAATCTATAATCTTTTAACAAACATAATACAGAAGTTAAAACTATAAAATGATATACTTTAAATATGTCTTCATCAAAAACAAATAACTAACATTTAATATCATTAATCAGGGACCACAGCCAATTCCCGGAATCCAAGCCATAGTTCACCTTCAAGACGACGAAGAATCTGGAGTGGAGGGAGATTTAATATTCACACAGTTAGTTCCCAACGGACCCGTTTCTATCCAGGGAAATATTACGGGATTGTCTCCCGGCCTTCACGGACTACATGTACACCAGACCGGCGATATTGATGACAATTGCAAAAAGATTGGACCTCATTTCATTGCTTATTACGTGCGTATATTTTTATATATCGACTTATACTAATCGACATGCCTTAGAGATGAGAATTGTGGCACTCCGAAAGAAAGAGAGGAAACGAAGTTTCGGTCTATCTTTATCTCTCTCAAAATAGTACCGTATCTATGAGGAAAGCGATAGTGCTAGACCGAAAGCATAGGCCATCTCTCTCACTCTTTTCGAACCAAAAAATTACTGCAGATTATACGCGTACGACATGTCCATTAGTTTAAGTCGATTCTTTTATATATATATAATGACAGCTACCACAGACTTAAAACATTTTAATTACAGATAATAAATCTGAACGCTATTAACTACGAAGTGTGAAAATCTTTGAAGGTTTTAACGACAACTTTGTACTGGTTTATAGTGTAATTTAATAGTCAATAAAAGTCGAGTATATTTACTCTTTAAGAGGACGCGTTACAAATATTAATGTCAATAATTCAGGACATCTTGCTTGATAAATATTATACATTATGTTAAATTTTATGAACTAAGACATATTCTGAGAAGTCTCAAAAATTTACTATTTGATTCATTCATTTATAATTTGGGACTATTCTTAAATCGCTTACATAAACATGTGCTAAAACACCTAAATTGTATGACAAATAACACGTTTATTTAACTGAGGTGTCAAATGTGAAGATATTCATATTGTATAAATAACTCTCGATTACTACGATCTTTTTGTATTATTGTCAAATAGCATGGAAATCGGCTGTTATCATAATATACTTCTGTGTTACATAATTTTTTTATGATCAATCCATATTTTTGACATTCGATTTGGATGCTTAAAATGTTATTACACAATTTGTACTATAACCGATAACGAATTATATCAAAGCGATGTTAAATGCTCTTAAGATCTCCTTTTTTAGTTCTTGATGTATATTTTTAATGACTATATAATACACTCCATATTAATTCACTGTTTCAGGGTCGTCACGGAGGTCCAAGGGACGCCGTCCGACATGTTGGCGACCTCAGTAACATAAAAGCCGAAGAGGGCGCCACTTTAGATGTCAAAATAGTTGACCACCTGATATCACTTACTGGTCCTAGGTCTATAGTTGGACGGGCAATAGCTATAAGCAAAAGTGAAGATGATTATGGAAGGTCCAGTACTGAAGACAGCGCCTTAACTGGTACTTCGGGTCCGGCTATCGCTTGCGGCATTATTGGCTATCTTAATTAGTTAAACATTTTATCAACAAGCTACAAATAAACTTCTTTGAAATACAATATACGTCATATCTGTCAAACCATAGACAATACATCTGTGAATGTATAATGTCATAGATACTTAATAAAAATATTTTTACTCATATTCTATTTTCTTGCTTAAAGGAAGCATGTGTTAAAGCTAGGGGGTATTGAAATAATTGCATTTCAGCCTTTTCAGTTCATTTATTATAAAGCAATATAAATAACAAAATATTAATATGAATTAGCTTTACAATAAAAGAGCACCAGGTTTGTGAATATCCTTAAACGTGATGTCCTAACAAAAATAAATAACTAGAAAACAAACTGTAGAAATAATATTTGATTTTATAACAAATGTAAAAAAAAACAGTCAACATAATTGAACTTACAGAAGTAAAAATAAGGAAGAGCTTTTGATTCTATTTTACAAAAAAAAACTGGATTATTATGTTGGCAACATTGTGCGTTAAAAACATTTTGTCGATTAATACCAATCGACAAATTATTTGTTGCCATATAATAAACTTAAATTATTTGTGAACATACACTAATTTATTGTAGGCCGAGTGAAGCGATAAGGCTTTCTACTTTAGCGATGTACGCTTTTTGGGCGTCTTCCTTTGAGAGCCCCTTCTTTCCACTCCAGGCTTCGAATTTAGCCTTGCCCTTAAGATCAAACATGCCTGGTTTGTCTGAAAAATAAGATTACAAATATTATACTATATTCAGTTTCAGAGATGAAGACTTACACAATATGTCATATAAGTGACCAGGTCGCGAACTCAGTTATATGTACTTTGTTTTTGATAACAGTATATCTTACTTTAACCAGAAAAATATCTTCACCTTTTACGTATATATCATAAATTTCATATAATTAAATTTCACGTGATATAATTAGTAATTACGTTTTGACTAAAATCTATACATATAATAAAATTGTAGAAAAGTGCTGTCTGTACATTGAAAATAAAAATAAAAAAATAGCAGGGGTTATTGTTACGTCGATATCGAACCCAAAAATGTAATTAACTTTTTTTTTGTCTGGTTGTCTGTTCACGCTAATCTCAGAAACGGCTGATCCGAGTTGGATGCGGTTTTCATGAATATATTGTGGTATGCTTTAGTGTTTCTTTCATGTCAATCGGTTCATAAATAAAAAAGTTATGTCAAATTAAAGAATCCCGTCGAACACTATTCTAAAAATAAGTATATATTTAAAAAAAACGCTGCTCATAGTCACTATTCTACGGGAACAAAGTCGCGGGCACAGCTAGTTAAAAAAATAATTATAATCTTCTTTAAAAAGTGACATACAACTGACATTTTACATAATAAAGTTACATTAAGTTCTAGAAAGAACTATTAAATAAACGAATCAACTTAATCAACTTAAATCATAGTTCAACTAGCTTTTTTATATCGTATAAGTATTATTTTTCATTAAATTACCGAACAAACAACTATAAGTTTACGCTGAGGCGCGAATTATATCCAAGCAAGTCAAGGTCAACACGAATACATGAGTAATTACAAACAATACATTGAATGCTTGTTATCATGCGAGGTAAGACCATTGGAATGACCTTTACTTCAACCAGAAGACTTCGTCATCAAACTAAACTAAGATTATAGAATCTATAAACTTGAAAAAGTGGATAAAGTTTGTCGATTTGAATACATTGTAAGTAAAAATAGTGCATATACACCGATTCACAGTTAAAATTATTTCTTGATATTCCTATAGTTTCCATTTACCATATATTTATCTAAGATAAAATCCATACCAATATTTCCTGAATATATCATAATATTCAACATTGTCATGTTTGTTAAAAAACAATTTAAACCCACTTTTGAAACATGATTTATTATTTGTTATCATATCCGCTGATTAGTTAATCAATTTACTAGGAACAGATAATATTGATAATATTTATTTATAACTTATATAATTATAAGCAATATAAAATAATTTCATTTTAATGTTTTATTCACCAACTTATGTTAAGAATATTGTTTTTAATTCAGCTTCAAATTCATCAGTTTTCTATAGCACTAATATAGCTTAAGAAAAACATGTCAAATTTAATATTTATAAACATATAAAATATTATCTATAACATACTTATTAGACATTCATAGTCATACAGTATTAAAATTATGAATGAAAAACATAAAATGCTTTGAATGTACTGGGATAATGAATGAAAATGAACTATTGTCTGTAGCAAAAAAAATAACAAGTTCTGTGAAATATAATTATTACTATAAAGACATAAATTCTTCATACAAATAAAGACATTGATGTCAAAATATTCCACTATTCAACTGCCAATGAAAGCATAGCTTTAAAAAAAATATTTATAAAGTCTACAGGTATTATGTAACAGTTATATTATCATAATATAGGTCTATAGATTTGAATTTGTTTTCCAAATATTTTGCAGACTACTAAAACAATCGATATTAAAAATGTTTGTGATTTCACATTTTTATTCATATAAAGTCACAATATGAGAATTAATTAGATCAAAGATTTTCGCGAGTATTCATTTAAATGAAACAAGATTTCATCTGCCCGTAATAACGGTTGCTGTAAAGTAAAAATCAAAACTAGAAATCACGTAGTAAATCCGAAAATATTAGTTTCATTTAGAAGAATTGACGGGCAAATTCTTAGTTAGTAAAAAAAAGTCTATTCTAAATATTGAAACATTGTTGTTAAGGCCATTTATTAACTTTGGTCTAAGCAAAAAGTATGCAATTGAAAAAAATTCTATTGAACTCTGGCCCTAACGTCTTCAACACAAGAATAATTTAACACAACAATTTTAACTTACTGCAAAAGATTATTTTATAAAATTATAGTTCCATGTAACTAAGTATATATAATTAGATCTGTAATTAAAATGCAAATGACACACTTCCACCGCTTTATGTGAACATTAGTCAAACTTGAATTTTAATAGAATTATCATACAATGTAATTTATGTACAACAGTAAAGGAGTCAAAATACAAAGTGCAGAACTAAATTTATATTCTACATAGTAATCGGAACAGACAGTAAATTAAAGGTACTAATGTGTATGAGGAAATTTATGCCTGTCTTCAGTTTTCTTAAGGTTAATGAGGAATATATATATAAGTATATATTATATATAAGTATGTACTTACTCGCTGGGTCGGCATCACCTACTGTGGCCTGTTTGAAGTAGGCATACAGTTCAAGGAGGTCGGAGTCGCTGGGTAGTGACTTCAGCTTCTTGACATTAGCAGCGGCTTGGTCAAATTGCTGGAATGATTAACCATCATATGAATGATAATAAAATAGAAAGATTTGTTAGAAGTATGTCAGTGTGTTAATGACATACGATTTTGCAAAATGATGTGGTATTTATTTAAACCTGTGATAAAAATCACAATATTCTGATTAAGTAAATAGTCATATAATTATTTCATATTAACATTATAAGCAAAATATTCGTGGATACATTTCCTCAATGCTGTGGTAACATTTTTTCAAACAGCAATTGTCTATATTAAACAACTAATGGATCTGTCCCACTTTTGAATTGGCTCTCTCTGTTATGCTCTGATATTTTTTCTACATAAAAATAAAAGCGAGTTATCTGACGTTAGAAAAGTATTTGATCTTACACTTAAAGAAATTAAAATATTACTTCATTAATTTGTACAGTACCGCCAATATTAGCAATGTCAATAAGGGCATCGAGCGATTGACGTCTTTAGTTACCGGTTAAATAAAAAACGAGGATAATTTTAATTCTATTTATATATGTTATGAATTTATTAATAAAACTTACCTCTTGGAGGGACATAGTGATGTGTTTATCGGCGAAGGAGACCTAAAAAAATATAAATTACTGAGTACTGTTACTGAGCAACGTACTGTATCCACTATCTACGTGACCGGCGATAGCGATAAACGATATACACAGGGTTAAATATCATAAATAATATATACATTATCAATACACAATCAATCAAAGTATTAAATAATTACGAAATTATTTGATTATAATAAAATCTTATCAACTTACTTTGAATAGGTACACGAACAAGACGACCGCCACCTACAAATTCACGCTAACAACTGTCAAGTGTCACTACTCACTACTCTACTGGGCTATTCAGTACAGTTGTACTCGGCATTGGGCATCGAGTACTATTCTAAATTTCGTAATGTTTGCTTGAACAAATTATTATTTTATACTATATCTTCAAAACTTGATGCCCCACCTCAAGATCTTATTAAATAAATAAAAAAAGTTACTGAAATAAATATTTAGCAATAAATTAATCGAGATTAAATTCTTATGATTTTTATTTTTTTATATATAAGTAATCTGTAATATTTAAATGAAAATCTCGAAACTCTTTCTCAATCTATAATGTGTAGTTAATAGAAAAGCATAAACTTCCAGATGAATAAAAAAAATCAATCTATTTAGGTATATGGTGTTTACGTAATAAAGTCGCTAACGTAGGGTTTTTCCGTCTAATCTAACTAATCACATGACCTAATGAGAACCTTATAATTACTCCATAAAATACCGTTATGGAAAAAAGATCAGTTAACGTCTTAGAAAGAACAGCTACTTATTTCATAAGTCTCACGCGGGGATGTGAATTGCAGGGAGTGCAATTAAAAAGTTATGACTGATACTACGTCTATTAATATACTTCTTGTAATTTGGTTTATAAATATAAACAACATCAAGTGGTACTTCTCCGTAACAGAATGATTTATCCATTTTGAGCGCTATATTATAAAAGTAGGTGTAAAAATTTCTTTAATTTTTACCAACTATAAGTACTTTAAAGCTACTATAGCATTTATATTTACTATGTATAGTACAACGCTAAATAAAATTTAGAGCAGTAGTGCAATTTAACTGATATGCAATCTTTATAGTTGCAATAAACTATTGGTTTAAAAAGTTATAAATTGAAACGTTCAAAATGTTCTATTACTATTAATTAAAATAAATTCAAAGCTGGCAACATCGTGCATATTAAAGTAGTTTACAGAATAATTAAAAAAAAAATATTACTGGCAACAAAACATGTTTAATACTCCGATATCACTAGATACTATAAAATACCACAAAGCCTTTTCCAATAATATTTCAAATCGACAACATTATGTTGAACATTGTGATGCTATCTGATATTTGATAAAATTCATACATATTCATACATACACCGACTACTTACATCAAATATAATGAGTTCTAAGACATTCGAGAATATTAATTTATATAAAACTTATTTTGTCGGATTATTACGCTTTACTTTTCATAAAAATATTAGTTTTATTTACATTATATAGATATTATAAGTATATCCAACAGTTTGATAATGATTATAATTATTTTATAAAGTATGTAATTGTTACAATGATGATTAAATTATTGATCTCATGTCTTGATGACAGCTCTTCGATGTGACACAAGTATATTACTATAGAATTTCCTTTAATTTAAACCATTCTCTAATTCTGAGATTCAAGATGTGCTGTAGGACAATGACAATGGATAATAAATCACTTTTTAATGTTAGACTAATTTCTAATATAATATAAAATACATATATTTCTAACATATAATAAGAAATGTGTAACTCTTTTAATAAATGCTTTTTACATACATACATATGTATAGCCATTGTTGCGAACTCCGGATAATGTTTTTGTGCCATTTTTTATGTCTCTGAATAATTTGAAGATTATTCTTATTGTAAAATAAAATAAGTATATTCCGTAATCTTACTAAGCAAACCAACAATTAAAATGCTAATATTAAGATGTAGACGAAAAAAGAAAACACGTGAATATGTAAAAAAATATTTAATTACCAAGAAGTTATAAAAATTTTCATTACGCTCACATAATTCGACACAAAACCACGAAACTGAGAGATTAAGAATTTTGACATTACTTTATTTAATAGTAAACCTAGCTTATAATGAGTGTTTAGGCGTATTTGGACTGCAACTTCTCCGCTTGTTCGATGTACTGTTTCTTAGCGTCATCCTTTGAGATCCCTTTACGGTCGGACCAGGCCTTGAACTTGGCCTTCTCAACGAGACCGCTGGGTTCAGCTGCATAAAGAAAGTCAATTAAATAAATACGAGCCTAGTTTTACGAGAGAACTACTTATATATAGCGGTCGCTCATAACGGATCAAGTCTATTGAATATTAAATTTAGCTTTCATCACGATATATCTAGTAAATATCGTGTTATTTCTACGTGTTATATCAAAAAGTTTATACATATAATTTAACCAAAAAGGTTGTTGTATATGAACTCTTTTGTAATAGTGACGTCATCTCACCAATGTTGACGTCACCGAAGACGGCCTGCTTGTAGAGGGAGTAGAGTGAGAGGTTCTCACTGTCGCTGGGCCTGGTCTTCCAGTTCCTGACTGATTCAGCGACTTTTTGGAATTGCTGATAACAATACAAAAAAAATACATATATATTTAATGTTACTAACAATTGGATACAGAAAAACAGATAACAAATCCTTAAAAAATATTTTTAATCTGTGTTAGGGAAAGTCAACTAGAGAAAAATTGGAGCCAATCAAATAAATGACTTATGTCATTTGTATTTTGTCATATGCAATTTTTAAATGGCGATTTTCAACAGATTAGATATAATGCTTCGTTAGTGTCTGCATTATGTGACGTGGGAATCAAATATAGAAAAATATGAAAACAAATTTTATCATTTATAAATAAAGAGATAATGTTTAATCGCTTGATTAAATGAAGTTGATTGATTGATGTAATAATTTTTATTGCGATAATAATTATTATCAAAAATTTACCTAGAATATAATAGCAAAGGATAATGTTGAATATTTCATTTTCAACATTTTAAATAAACAGTCATTTCTATCCTTGTATGAGTATTTCGAAAACCCCAGTGTCGCAAACAGGAAAAGAAATATGGAGGTAAACCGTAAAATAAGTCGTGTAATGTATCCGAGTAATACTATCTTGCAGTGCGTTAAATAATATGGTCATATAACCAGTATTATAAGTAGTTAAAATAAAACATTATGCAAAGAGGTCTTATAGGAATTTGTATTTAGGATGAAGTCTCTAAAATTTTGATCCAATCTGTCAAAAGTACTGCCTTATAAGTTAATTGAAATATATGATCTCATAAATATAAAATTATTAAACAATGTCAATAAAAGAGAACCTTGTAATAAATATAACCATTTCCTTAAAAATACTCAATGTTTTTTGTATTTTATACTTCATAAAACCAATATTTAATCGTGTATTTTTTTGTTTAGTTTTGATATTGTATTTAATTCAACAAACGTCAAATGTTTGACGTCTAGAAACTTTTACTTTTGACATATAATTTTTTTCTGAACGTAAATTAGAAGTTTTATTTATGAATTTTAAAAACAACGGTCTCGTAAATGTAACACTTCTTAGTCTCTTAACATTAAGCAGGCATTGCATACTTATTTTTATTATATAAGCTGCATATAGTTGTTACTCAAAGAAGATTATTGGCTTAGAGCAATAAACGTTGGCAGAACAGAGTTATATTGCATTTCACAGTTATTATCCTGTATACGAATTTTGCATGGCCGGAGTAATAACTATAAATTTCAAGGAGTTTTTCCTTAATTCTTCTTTTATACGTGCGAATAATTACGAATATCACCTAGAAACTTGTTTTTAATTTTATAAAAAAATCGTCCAAAGAGTATTACTTTACCTTGGATATAAAACTTATATGCAAAACGGTTTTATGAATAAAAATAAAAAACATTGAGCATTTTAATAAACATTCAAAATAAAGTCAAAAGAATATGATTATATGTTATCTATGCAACGGATATCAAATTAATTCTTACCTCGTCGAGAGACATGGTGGATTGAGAGATCTGTGAAAAAGAAAAAATACGTTAGAGCATTAAAATTAATAAAATATTTAAAACCCATACTTAAGATGTTAATTATAGAATAATAATAGAAAAAAACATGCATTTCTGTTAAGTATCAATGAACAGAATAGATATTATTAACGATTCCAAGACTTTTTAAATGACAAACTAGGTGATCATAAAATGGCGGGAAGTACCTATAAGAATGCGGCAGTATAATACCGTTGATTTTCGCGATGACATTCCTAAGGTTCATTGACACGGGACTGGCTTTCACACTTTCATTGCATATAAAATATAAAGTACTTTACTTAATAGTTTATTTAAATGAACTTAAATAAATCATGTTATCATTCTAACAAACAGCTTATATTAAATTTAAGTCTCAATTTATTTGAATAATAGTAGAACCATTTGTTAAATGAAACGAATACTATCGAACCACTTCGCGTATTTTGCTATTTTTTTAAACTGCATACTCCCGCCATTTCGCATACTTTTTGCAGCAACAATGTTAAATCCGAAAATATTAGAAAATGAATACTAGTGGAAATTATAGATCTCATTACAGTAGAAACATATTGATAGATTTAAGTATTGATGATTCAATTTTATAATTAACGGTTATATAAAAAAGGTTTTATATTGACTAGAGTATTTTTTTTTTTTTTGAAACAAAACGAAAGTATATTTCTTAAGGTAACTTTAAAATAAAATTGTCATACTTTACACTTTGAATGTTGGTTTATGGTTTTTAATGAATATTAATAATAAAATAAATAAAAATAAATGTTTCTAACTTACCGGGTTTTGAGTTTGTATGAAATCGAAACCGAAAATGAATATTTCAGGTCCGCGGCGCCGGTTAAATTTTGGCAGGTTATCTTAGTTGCTGATTACGATAGGGTTGTCAGCCACGAGTAACAAAAATATTTAAATAAACATTAAAGAAATATTATTAGCTTTTACACTTAAATATAAACATATTTTAGGATATAATATATATAGATAACTGAAAAAATTCATCTTGTTTTTCGAAGTTCAAAGTTAATGTAAATTTCCAGATCATTCCGATTTTAAGAAACAAAGTTGAAATAATTAATATTGTTAATATATTTTATTATTTGAGTAAATGGCTCTAATTTAAATAAATCTTTTGATGGTATATACAATTATCGTTAAAAGCTGTAAGTGTAAAAAGACTTACGGCATCCGATGTTAGCTTTTAGAACATCAAATTAAAGAAAGTTATTATGATAAAAAAAAACCTAGAAGAAGAATTTCGTGTAAAATATATTTCGGAATAGTCTAAATTCATAATTTTCTTTCAACAAACGTATCAATAAATAAATTAGGACAAATTTATTAAATCAATATGTTTTCAATATGTATTTTTAAATATATAATATTTCTTAAAACATTAAATTTATGGTATCATAATATATTCTGCCGGCCCTGTTGGAAATCATCGAAGATAATCACGTTAAAAAACTTCCATGTGGGCTAAGTGTATGAAAATAAAACAAAAATGCTAAGATTATAATAAATTCACCCTCATAATAATGTCAGTTCATATCAAAACGATCAAGGAATTATAAAAGTCATATCGTGCTTGACCGTTATCAGTTATCAATTTATTATTTGATCAATAAACTGATCTATGTACATCAATCATATGTAAACTTGAAGAATAATTAGTGAGGACGGTAATGAGAACTAATTTTGTACGGTAAAGAAGCTAATACTACTCTAATTTTCACATATGTAGCATTGAAAGTTTTTACTATTGAAAATACATACATTCAGAGGATTATTTTAAACATTATACATATTATAACTGCTTTCTATGCATATATGGTAGTAAATATTATTAAATAATAATATTTTTATCATAAAAATTGCCTCATTCATCCAATATACATAGATTTTAAAGAGATGAATCTCTCATCATTCAATGTATTCACGGTGCGAGTGTCGGGTCCATCGTTGTAGTGAGAGGAGCTTCAACAGTGACTGGGACTTGTGACCCAGGTGTAGGTTTAAGGGGTCCCTATCTAACGCGTTAAACGTTATATTTGTAATTTTGCATCGCGGTACATATATCGACGGTAATAGTTGAAGCATTCATTTATTTTCAAATGTTAAATTCAAATATTTATTTACAGTAAAACCCTATTTGTATTAGCTTGTTTAAATCATTCAGATTATTAAATTTATCATTATTTTATTTAACTACCATCTTTAAATCATATAAGTTGACATTTTTATTATTCTATTTATATCTAAAATTGTAACAACACATTGTTACTTAGTGCCAATTATATAATGATTATGATTTGAAACTTATAAATAATATATTTTTAAACAAAACTTGTCTTTATAAATTCAATTCTGTATGATAAAAAATGTAATTGAATAACAATTGTTTTTATCAACAAGAAGTATTTAATGTCAAGTCATTAGCATAATCTGTGGAATATTATAGATACTAACAGCTTACTAACAAATATTATTTTAATAATAGTTAACAAACTGTCCTGTAATATCGTATCAAAATTCATTAAAGTTTAAATCCCTTGGCTACTTAGTTAAACGTATACATAATTGTCTCATTTTTATTTTTATCCAAACTAAACACCGCCAAATTAATTTTGTTATAAGAGGATTATTTTCTTGTGATAACGTTTCCAATTGTTCATACATAATTATTGATTAATTGAATAATATTATTTTTATCTAAAGTTGTGATTTGACTTATTGGTACGAAAGATACTTTATTTTTAGTGGCAGATTATACAAAAAAAAGAGGTTTATAAAAAAAGGTTTCATGAATATACTAAAATTGTTGCGTTAATTTTATTTGTTATTACGTATAATAGAGCCAGTACATCTAAGGAAATAAATTTTTAAATAATATATGTTAATTAATATTTGTTACTTAATAATTTATTAAATCTTAAAGAAATTCATTTTTTGTTCGTCCAAATGTTGTGAACTCCTGAACTCTTGTTTACAAAATTTATAGCTTCTCATTATATTACTTTAATCAAACATGGCTGAAAAATGTCAGAGTAAATTTCGTTAATTTCTACGTTTTACATTTTTTTTAATAATATTTAGCTTCCCAATATATGAAATGGGAAAATTTTACTTAAATAAAAATAAGAAATGACAATCCATTTATTGTGTTAATAGTTTCTTACGTGTCATTGAATATATAGACACGAATGTTCTACAAACGTGTTGCTCTGCTTGAAGTTTCTACTTTCAAATAAATATAATCAAGCATACATATTTTACTTCAAAAGTTTTCGTTTAATAATTTCTTAATCTTGTACATATTCTGGACTACAGACTCCTATAAGAACTTTGTAAATGAGATTCTAAACAACTTGCGAAAGTATGTTTTAAGAAAAGTACGAAACATCATTAATGTATTATTGTATTTTCAATCTATCTGAATACAAATTTAAACTTAATATCTTCATAATATAATTATCATTAATAATTCCAAAGGAGAAACTCAGTTTGCTTACGATTTTAGAAAGACAAGCGCAAATAATGTGTTTTACAAGTTTTCTGTAGCAATGATTGTAATATATAACTTGAATTGGAGACTTGAGCTGGAATAAAAATTAAAAAATTACATCTGGGAACAGTCCTAACAGGAATTTATCATTCAATTATCATACTATACATAGCATCGTTGAACTACACACGGAGACTAATACTTCATTGATGAATCTGCGCATTATATAGTATTAAAGTAGGTCAGTGAATTAGACACGAGAGAGACTATTTTATGTGACAGTACAAATTGTTCTAGGCTTACAGAATCTCAGCTTTAAACTCGTCAAATCGTTAATGTATCTAACTTGCGTGAGGCGCAATTTTGGGATAACCATACTGACCATCCATTATTACTCCCAAGTCCCAGTGTTGTTTGAAATAACATTATGAAATATGTTTTAAACTAAGTATAGTTTATGTTTAATCCTTGGTTTGAATCTTCATTACTTCTCTCCATAAGAAGTAGAACCAGTTTCGCGAAAATATCTGGAGCTTTCATCGCAATCACTCAGTATAAAGAAACTGACAGATATTTTATTCAAATCGTAATAGATTGTAAATTCTGTTCATGCATCATAGTAAACTGTGTTATTACATGAAGCCTCTTCTAAAGTTTACAATTATTAAATTATACCACTATTCGTAATATATATGTTTAAACATTACTATTTAAAAACAATTAGCCAAATACTGTTCATAACGTGTAAGGCAGACCCTGGGTAAAGTTAGGAAATTGCCAGGAAGAAGAAGAAGAACCACAATTCACTTTCGTAGTTATTTCTATCTAATAGTTTTAGAGGATATTTTTCACAGTTTTATTTATTTTATTACTAGATTTTGCAGCGACTTCGTCCGCGTGGAATAGTGACTTCCGGCAGATTTTTGGTTCTTCCTACATAGTTCCCGTTCTTGCGGGGGTTTCGGAATGGTCGAGTTCCCTTAGAATTTTCAGGATAAAACCTATGTTTTTTTTAATTCACAATGAAGTACTCTTAACAAACAACATATTTATTAGTTTATTTGAATAAAGATTAATACTATTATGTTGATACAACTTAACAAATTATTTCGACCAAATTTGGTACCATAAAAACGGTTTTTGTGAGTTAATCTTAAAAAATAGACATATACTGTAGCAGACTGTTATTTAGATCGTTAAAAGAGCTATTATTCTTTAACACATATTTTTTGTGTATCTTGAACCGTTTTCACGGCGCACGCAACGGAAGGCTTCAAAGATGAAATAATTTCTCCCGTTTTTTACACATTTACCACTATATCTTTGCTCCTATTGGTCGTAGCGTGATGTTATATAGCCCACAGCCTTCCTCGATAACTGGACTATCCAACACAAAAAGAATTATTCAATTCAAACCAGTAGTTTCACAGATTAGCGCTTTCAAACAAACAAACAAACAAACTCTTCAGCTTTATAATATTAGTTTAGATTATTGATAAATTTATCATGTGTATTTAAAAAGATGAGGTTAAACCTACGAAGCTGCATAATTAACAATAATTACAAGGTGTAATAGATGTAAGTATTTCTGTAAATAGAATGAATGAAAGAATATTGGAAATAGAAGACTCCTTACAATTTTGGTAATGATCACGACTATGGTAACGAGAGTTTGTGGTTGGAATCACTTACTACCGTCACCATGGTAACGAATAAAATATTACGCAGACATTTTTCTTCTCCATTTTTTTTCTTAAAGATTCGTCTAGTAGTGATATAATTTATATAGATGAGAAAGTAAACCAAGAAATTTTCTCATTTATCCAAAGACCAAAAATAAATTGAAGTGTTATAAAGATATTATAATCATTATTTTCAAGCTTCTATCATGTCAAAGATCTAAGTGACCGCCATCTTTACTATCATTTGCAAATAGGTCAAATTTGGCGGCTAACTTATCAATTGGAACACCTCACACCCGCTTAGAGCCACGCCCGCATTATGACAGACGAAAACGTAAACTCTTAATAAATATATTATCTGTAAACGGATACGAAAACGATAATACTGTCAGAAAGATAAAATGATTGATTTATAACGAAATAACAAACGAATTTATTATACGTGGCACCGCTAGGAAACTATATTTAATATTATATATGGTTGATAAGGATTAAATAAATAAATAGATATTAATATTGAAATAAAAAAATGTAGGAACAATGAGTTTTTAGGAGCAGAAGTCGATTGAAACCTTTGGAAAACGCGAATAAAATATATTGATGTTAATATAATTATGGTAAAATTATACGAATTCAGGAAATGAGATATAAAAATAGGTATTTCTTTTTTTTCGTATTGTTCATTGTTATCATGAAATAAGAACCTTTGCTACTTATGTAGTATTACAAACTTATGGTGGTAATGAGAAACTAGAATACTATGGATATTAGGTATTCACGTCTAGACTGGACTTATAATGAAAAATTTAAGTAAAAATAATGTTGTTACATAATCTTATTTAATTTCAAATAAAAAACACAATTTTAAAAGGAGAGTTATAATGTCTTTTTCTCACAAAGTTGTTCATCTATTTAAAATATCACATGTGACTTTAAATATAGGTTTTAAACAAAAAAAAAACAAATGAAGCATTTGTTTAATTAAGAGTTCTTTTGACGAGAACCGAAATTTGAGTTTTTAGATTAATTTATACATATATTTTGTGCAATTTCATGCGAAGTAACATGATCACGGGACCAAATGAAATTTTGTACAGGTTTTTATTACTTTAAGAGCAATGATATACCGGAAATGATTTTTTCTTTACAATGTATTGACATTTAAGTTTGACCTTTTTCTGTTTCGTTGCCTACAAACTACAGTATAAGTATGTGACATTTATTAAGCGATAATAAATTGACGCTTTCACGACTTCCTGAGAATAAAATTATGCACGAAAGAATCTACTTCTGAAAATTATGTATGGTGACAACGTAAGTAACGAGTATTCTATAATATAGATAAAATTAACCTTTGACTTTATATTCATAAAAAAAAAACTCTTTGAAAACTTGCTTCACTATCAAATTCAGGACTGTAAAAGCTTGATTTTGATGCTTCTCAATATTATCAGTCAAGATCTTTAATTTATTACGATTTTTCTTAAAAAAAAACTAAAATTTTATTAAAATTTATAATTAAATACATTTCTTACGAACTAGATTGCTTGTCACTTATATTTTATTTGAATTAAATAATGATTCCCTACAGCATCTACTATTTTTACTAACTACTAATAGTCATACCACTCTCATCATACTATTTACTTTAATTTATAACTACTAAAATTACATACAAGCTTTTAGTTTGAAAGTGTTTCTGAGTAAAAACTTGGGCTAAGTTTCTTCAATGTAGGCTTACTTATGAGTAATATTAATATAATTTGCATTAAAACTAAAGGTTTTTAAATATTTTCTATATTTCAAGCAATGGTTATTCGGTTTTTTGTCTTGGTTAGGTACTCTAAGATACTAAATTCCCTTATTTTAAAGTTTTATTCAAAAGTTCTAGTCTTTATTATTCTAGCTTCAAATATTCCTACATTTATGTGTTTTATCTTATCCTATAGGATTTAGTTAACCGATTTTATGAATGTGCTGTCCTCGTAACATCTTCGTGTTTTAATCAGGACTTACGCTTCACTTGTTAACGATGTGTAATTTACAACGATCGTAAACATTATTAACTGCTGTGTCATAAATTATTATAAGTAAGTTATCTTTCAATCAACTGTCGGTCATGAGGTAGCGATGTGAAAAAAATATCTGTTTCGTAATAAAAGGTAAAGTTTAATCATATTTATCCTTCCTAATCACAATAACTATATTCACTTGTACTTAAATATCGAAACGTTTAGAAAAAATAATTTAAATTATTTGAAATCCACTGCCAATGTTAACCAGGGTTCCTCCACTCTTAAAAGCGGAAAACATGCAAAATATATCTTTATTTTATTAGATTATCTCGACCCAAAAATATATTTTTCGTTCTTGAATGTTGTAAAAGATCTGTTTGTTATTAATGAACCTTACATGAACGGTACTCATTGATAGCTATCACATGACCCAATAAAGATTCCGTTTTTACTGAATGAAGTAAGGAAACTATAAAAAGAAATACAACAATTATACTATGCATATTGGGATACATTCTGCTTCACCCAAAAAAAAACAACTATAAAATTTTAACCCATATTCGACTTATTTTAACTAACATATAAATAAGAACTGTAATTCTATTACAAATTCGTTATTTAATAGTAGATATATTTATTTTTGGGATATGTTCTGTCCAAAGTTGGAGGTCTCAAGTTTATCGTATGGTATCATCATGGGGTCCGTTGGAGGCATGGTCACTGTCGCCGCTAGAACAGGGCTAACTTTACCTTCCTTCAGAAGTAACACTTTAATAACTGACCCGTCACCCGCCTGACCCGTCACATTACGAAAAAATACATCCGGGTTCACGTTCTCACTGAATACTTCCTCTACTTTAATTGGAAACTTCAACTGATTTCCTGGCGCTATCAGTGGTACCTGGAAGGGAGATGAAATAGTAACAAACATCTTAAATATCTGCAAAATAGTCTATAACTGCAGTAAACTGTTCGTTCACCCAACAAAAATATGTATAAAACGACGAAAAGCATGTGACAGGATAGGCCTATTGTTCAATGATATAAAAAATTGTCCTCTCTTAAAATGACAGTATTCAAGAATCGGATTACATAAGAAAAAAATATTCTTAGTACAAACTACAAAATAAGAAAAGCATAAAACAGTCCACTGTAGTATGTAGTGTAGTATATAAGCAGATGACACCTAGTATTGAGGAGCAGTAATAAATTTATCTTTAAACCTAAAGCATCTACTTTATTTACCAAGTCCTTACAAGTAAATATACATACATATATATATTAAATATGTCTCTATATATTGTTCTATAAGAGGTATAAAGTACCTTGATATATGGCGTATGGACCCTATATCCAGTAGAGATGACCTGGAATAACACTGATAGGCCGGAGACAGCTCGCTCCGAGCTCGTGTTGTGAACTATCAGGGTCACCACGAACACGGGACCTAGACCTTCCACCTGGATATATTAAGGAAATCATAAGTTTATATATATCAAAGGAACAAATAAAAGGCTGAAGATAAGTGACCTTTGGTGGGAATAATTATAAAGTGATCTGTTATCGCCACAATAAACCTGGAATATAAGGAGAAGAAGAATTGGATTTTGTCGAACCGAGAAGCGTTTAAGATCTTCTGGCAATAGTTGTATGAATTATTATAGATTATTCTATTACGAAAGTATTCTACCAAGGCGATTCGTTTTTATCATATAACATCTAAACCAAAGTCTAGCTACTATTCAAGTAAGCTACTATAAGTATAGCTCAACTATTTATGTAGTATATTTAAACTAAGTTCCCAAGTAATTATTAGATACCCTAATGAATAACATCAAAAAAAGTCAATATTTCAATGAAATAATTCAGCATATAACAACCATTTTTTATATCCATATATGTATTGGTAAGAAAGACATTTACATATTTAAAAACGATGGACGTAAGTTGTGTACTGTTATCGGACGAAGTTTTAAAAGGTATTGTTTTATATCAGCGATAACAATCAACCTTCAATACACTCATCAATGTTAAAAAAAAAATCATTTTTTTTATATAAATATTATCGTTGTAATCAGCACTTAAACCAATTTCTTTCTCTTCTAAACCTAATCTAATGATTTAAAAATTTTGGTCCAGGATTCATCTATTTTTTTCAATTAAGTTAAACCTTTTCCTGACCTCAGCGGATAATCTGATGGGTTCCATATTGCCAGCTCCAACGAAGTTATCCGACTTCCTATACGCCTCCAAAAGAGTCTGAGCCGTCAACAAACGCAGACGGTTTAATTCTTGCTGAAACGCCTCATGCATTGCTGGAAATAAAGTCTATTTAAATGAAACTAATATTTTTCTTATATACTAAGCGATTTTATTTTTGTAAAAAACTTCATACTCCTGACGTTTGGGTTACATTTCAGCAACCGTGATCTAAACGAATAATTGAATATTATTGCATTTTCAAAATGTTTTAAACATAGTGGAAAATTGGAACGAATAGTTAAATCGTATCGGTCAGTTATAAACCACCACACATGAACATTTTTAATATGATAACTTATCATAATGTGAAGTGTAAATGCACTCATTATATGGAACTTGGACACGTCATTTTTCTTTGACAGGTTATTAATATACAGGGTGACTGGTGAATTACTATCGATACTTGAGGAAGTGATATTTGACGATCATATATGACAGAATAAAAATTAATATAACATAAATATTAATAAACTTCTAAGTAAAGTTAACCAAAAGTTATGTAATTAATTACGCATCGTGTGAACACCCTACAGATTAGGTATACACACATACACACACACGCGTGCGGCGGCGTGGTGTTGTATCAGCACGCCGCCGCACGCGTCCACACTTGGAACACTTGGAACGTGTCCACACTTTATTTATTTATACGGAAATTTTGTCAAAAATTAAGTGCCTATTTTTTTTACATAATTCGAATGAGAATCATGTACCGAGTATTCTCCTTAAATATTGATAGTAATTCACCAGTCACCCTGTATATAAATATATATATTAATTAGAAGCCATATCTACATATGTCTAAATAATATTACAAATGACAAAGTTTGTGTGGATGTTCAGATATATATTTATATATGTATAGGCGCTTCTTGTTCTTTTAAGCAAAATTACTTGACAAATTTTAATGAACCTTTGCTATGTAACCAAATGTTAGAGTAAGACAAAGGCCAGAAATTAACCCGAAATTCAATGTAGTCGCCGTAGAGTCATGACAAATCCGTTTAATTGTGTATGAACAAACTTTCTTAATACAATATTTCTTTCTCATTGATTACAAGTCTTTGTGTTTTCTTGAGGTATAAAGTAACGGTTTTTTTCCTATTTTACGTAAACAATAATTGTAAATGATTATTATTATTAAAGTTAAAGCGAAGACTTAATTATATCAATACATAGACAAAAGCCCGTTTAGTTCACAACCTAGTGTCTGTCAAAAGCAATTACTATTGTATCCAATAAAATTATTTTTACACGTAATTAAATATCTGTCTGGAAATATACATATCTCTAACACAAGTAAAATGACGACTCATTATATGATTAGATTAATTATATTATTTGCTCTGGAATACAAAAAATTCTATACAAGTGATTTGGTTGCATGGATTTGAATACCAAACCAAGAATTAATAACATTATTATGAAGATCTGCTTCTTTTAAACACATATTAACTTTACCTTTAGGATTCTCTCTTTCCCTCATAGCTTGTTCCAGGAACAGTTTCGATTTCTTCGGTATGAGCCATGGTCGTTGACTGATATTAGCTTCAGAGGATTCAATCCCCGTGGAGTTTGAATTGAAATCAGCCGTGCGTTTTAATATTTTCAATAGAAGATGGCCACCTGGAAAATAATATATCTAGAACTGCCTAAAATTTGTAAATCAAGAGGATAATAAATTATATTTTACTTGTTGTTATGATCGTAAAAACATGTTCCTCTTGACCAAGCTGACCAAACTTCATGACAGAGACAACATCTGTAATAAACATTTTTATTATTTTAATAACAGGATTGTTAAAACATATTTATAAAAGTTAATGTGTATCCTCTAAGTGTTACTAAAGAGTAATTCTGTGATCTTTTCCCCTTCAGAATTTTGTATCATCTCACTATATATGTTTAAAGTTTTTATAAACCTAAATTGAGACGGAACCTCTCATCATTCCATGTATTCACAGTGCGTGTGTCGGGTCCATCGTTGTAGTGAGAGGAGCTTCAACAGTGCCTGGGACTTGCGACCCATGTGTAGATTGAAGGGGTCTCTATCTAACGCGCGTTAAACTCTCATCTCCACTGTCCAAGCTCTTCTCTCTACCTAACCAAATTTGAAACGAACCTACTAGGGCTGCCTTTGATGAACGTTCTAAGTTCTACAATAATATGAATTGACTTATTAATAACAACTGAAAAGTTTCTGGAGATGTTCAAATTTACATAAACATCTCTTTGTACAGTTGTTTTCAAAGCTATTGTTTACCTCATATTTATATTTACCATCAATAAGAGTCGCTGAGTCGGTGAAGAAGAAAGTACGTTTTTAAATATACTCTTATATTCCAGAAGATTCCATCCATTATGCTAAACCCAAATACGCTAGCATACGATATATTGCATGATAATATTGTTTTACTGACCTCTAATAAATATATTATCTCTAGGATATTTTCCGTCGTAAAGCGTCACGTGGCCAGACACTAGCGCCACCGCGGACAATGTCATGCCCAAGTGAGATATTGGAACAAGAGTAAGACAAATAGGACGATGCTCCAGGATTAAAGACCATTGTTTTCTACCCTGACAAAAAAGTATAGGCTGTCATAAGGGTTAAAAGAAGTTACATATTGTTTAATATTTACTTCTCGTATAGTAATTACATAATAAATAACAACTTATCAAAGATTTGGTATACATATAGTAGTTTTATTTATGAATAGTGTGTATTGAATGTTTAATGGTTATTGGTTACGAAATAATATTATACCTTACGATTGTAACAAGAGAAGGTTTTATCGGCGCATATAACTAAAACGCTATTATCTGTGGTAAAAACTTCAATAGCAATGATGTGGTCGTCAGTATTAAATAAAATACGTCCCGCTTTCCAGTCTCTTTTTAGCAAACAGACACTTTTTTCCCTGGAAAAAGATTAATACTATTATATTTTTTATTTTCATAGTCAGTGAACACAACTACAGACTATCAAACGTAATATTTTAATTATAAGTAAAGCGCCTGTAAAAGAATTAAATCAATTACCACGGATAGCAATTCTCAATATTATATAAATACTGTAACAAACTTCTTTAAAACGGTTTCAAAGCAAATACTTCACCTTGTAGCGACAGTTATTCTGTAATCCACATTGTATACTCCGGTCGTTACTATTTGAAACGGTGTTTTCTTAACAGGACTTATATTGACCTGGATTTGTAAAGAAAATAAGACAATGGTATGTACTTTTTTTGTTATACGCACAGTTTATTAAATAGCTATACCACATTTGTCTGTGTGAACGTCTGTGAGTCCAACACGATAACCTCTCCATCCTCTGTACCCAGAACCAGACAGCTTACAGCATGTTTATCAACTGAAGAGAGTTTAATACTTGAAATGCACACTATTTCTCCGCTCCTCCTCTTTGGTAACTCCCGAGTATTTTCCAGGTATTCCAGCTGTTCGTCAAATGTTAAAGTTAGAAAGTCCCTAGATTGTATGCTTAACACTTTATGAGGCATGTTATGTAGGCTCTCTGTGAGTTTTAGGATTATTACTTCGTTATGGTTGGATGGATTTGTAAGCTGGAAATAAAACATTGTAATAATTTGTTATATATGTATAATAATATTTAATGTGGGTACATACGCTATATAAAATAATTGAGACTTAAAATTATACTAATTTACCTATAGTCATTCCAATACCTGTTTCCAAATATCTAATTCGCCAGCATTAAGTTCGACACTAGGTAGATAATATTTGTAAAACAATTTCAGATTCCTATAAAAGTGTACGGAGGAGCTGAAAGCAACAGCAATCACGGGTTGAGGACGAGGATTTGAATCAACAGCATAAAAACTGACTACACCCAAAGGTAGATCTGGTAAAGTCAAGTCTGATATCTGCATGGCACCTTTAAAAATCTATAAAATTTATATATCCTATTAATTTTTCATGCATATGTAGTAAAAAGAAGTGTAATATAAAGTTATATACACAAATTTATGGTATAGTTTGATGATCTCACTTTAAGTCTGGGCCCATCATCGCCTCTTCCGAAATCTCCAATAATAAGTTTAACCTCATTATCATTTTGCAGATCCGAAAAGGTAACATTTGTAGGTAATGTATTAATATTTATATCGTCCGCTCCTGCTTCTACGTCTAACCATCTGCTCATGCTTCCCATCTAAAATAAATTATATTTTATAATTTTATAAAATTTTCATCAAATCAAGCTAATATATTCAAATTAATATTTTATTTTCTGTTTTATCCTTAAAAGGTCGATAAATTGCAAATGTAACTTAATGTTTACACGTATTGCTCATAGCGGTTACTATGGTAATTTACTAGGATTGTCTTTCAATGCGGATTTATTTTAGGCTACAATAATTAAAACAAATGTATTCGTGAAAGGTTCCAAAACGAATAATAAATGAAACGTATCAATGTATATGAGTGTGAACTGTTTGGTTATATGAATGTTTACAATGAGATTAAAAGCCTTGATTCTACATACGAGAATAATATTTAAAAATCGATATGTCAAAATATCTTTCTACTCGGATCTGTCAATGTTAAATAGTTCCAACCAATACAAGTTATGTAGTTGTTTTCTCTAAGAGATATTTTGTTTTAACATTTGAAATTATGCAGTGATCTTAGTAATTATTAAGTTTAGTTTATGTTAAGTGGTTCAGAAATTATTATTTACTTTGGTTTTCCAAAATGAACAGTTTCAACCCACTGTCAACTTTTCGAGGTAAGTAATAGATTTTGTTGTTGTTATTCACAGGCTACAGGATATTTAGCTGGCATTGTTTAAATGTGTAATATAATTTAATCTGTTTAAATTTAAATAATAGGGCATCCTAAAACGAATTTAAACTAAAATTCATGTTTGATACAAAGTGTCTGTCGCCTTTATTTATTTAATTTTTGAGTTTGAATTGAAGATAAGGACTTGAAATCTTCATTGCTTTATTAGTCTATATAACAACAATGGGTAATATTTTTTCTTGTTGATCACATAAAACTTACTATTGATTTTTTTTCAAATTATGAAACATTGAAATTGCTTGCGAAAACTGTTAGATCAAATGTATTTAAATTAAATACTTAAATGTATTCAAACAATACATGTTTCTATTATATTTGCCTATATAATGAGAGGAATATCTAGTAACAACCTGAATATTGTAACCAGTCCTGGTTGCTTTTTGTTTCAATCAGTAATTGATATTATTGTAATTTTAACTTATATGTCATGTATTTACCTGCCCTTTACCTGTAGATTTAAAATACCATGCCATTAATTAATAATAACTAAATAAAACTATATATAACACTGGCAGAATATACTGTGTACATCTTAGCACAAATGACGAAAATATTAAAACTAGCGAACATCCTAAATGAAATTACATTAGCCAAAGCTGTGTCCTTCACAATCTTTTTACATTCACATATTTCTTTTATATTGTTACATTATTAAGTGGCATTTTGCATATTAATTGAGTTAGTTTCTTAATAAGTTACTTAACTCAGCGACAACAATGTGTGAATGTTACCTTAAGGATTGCAGGCATCTATGTGTTAAGTCAATCTTTACATCGGGCGTCCGAAATGCTTGTTTGACATCTTCTTCTTCTTCTACCTTTTAATTTCCCAGCTATAGCCAGGGTCTGCCTTACATGATGTGAATAGTTTTTGGCTATTTGTTTTTTTGACATCTATATGTTATTTATTAATGATCTGTTTGTCTTAAATTCTAAGATAATCAAATGTTCCCTACAGGGGGAATTTTGGTAGATGCTTTTTGTTTTTTTCAAACTTTTAATTATCAATTTTGACTACTTTTTACCATCCTTGATGATTATTGAAATTAATCTGTTTTTAATATTTTATGGTCTTCTCTCTATATACTGAAATATGATCTGAAAGTTACAAAAAAGACTTATAAAATTGAATTTATACAAGCATTATATCTTGTATCATAAATCAAACCCAGAGAGAGATGAAACCTTTCAGCATTCCATGGATTCACAGTGCGGGTGGCGGGTCCATCACCCATTTAATCTATTTAACAATTATATTTATTTCAAAGGGATAATTTTTTTCATCTGTCACCTGACACTTAATCTACCCTTGTACAAGTTAGTTATCATCTAGACACAAGACACTAATCAGTTGGAGTTACTTAAGCTTCGAAGTTGTTCTGAATTAGAGTATTGTTATAACTTATAATGTATTATATTGAGTGAAATTAATTTAAATTATTGTGATCAGAAATGAGGTGAATAATAAGGAGGATGTATTTGATTCCATATGATTATAATCTATTTGATCTCCCTCCAATCCAGTATTGTTTTGTAATTTCATGATGACTATTATATTGCATTACATTGATTATCAAAATATCATATCACTTAGTTTTGTGTTGTGACTTGCCATATTATATCAGATTAAATAAGGAGAAAAAATAAGTAATAAATTAGTGGTAGGTAATAGTCTAAAATAAACTAGTTTATTTTTTTATTATTCTTTCTAATAGTAAGCACCTAGATGTGAATGCTGCATTTGTTTATATAAGGTGTGAAAAGACTATATGTATATATTACTTTTAGACTCTATAGTCTAAGTTGAAGGAAAAAAATATTAAGTTATTTCCAATAAAGAAACACAATACATATATTTTTTTATAATATTATTTAAAAAAATGTAAATATACTAAGTCAAGATAGATAAAACTCGCGGATCTAGGAATTGAAGCCAAAGCGCCTGTACCTGTACAGTGTACAGTGTATACACACAATAGTTGTTCGATGACTCACCAGTGGAAAGGCTCCGGCGTATACTAGTTTAAGTTTTGTTTCTTTTTCTCTCAACGAAAAGGAAATCACTTGCTTGTTTTGACTCACGAACCTGTTTATTTGCGATCGATCGATAAAAATTACGAACGGTTCTACCGAAAACGATTTGAACATCGATGAGTAAGTAAGAGGACAGTTGGTTGATAAAAAAATAGACAAATATGTAAATTAATGGAAGTTAGAAGCATTTATTCTGTACTAGCTTTCCGCCCGCAGCTTCGCCCGCGTGGAGTTCGGTTATATCGCGTTTCCAAGAGAACCTTTCAAAAGTCTGGAATAAAAACTATCCTATGTACTTTCTCAAGGTCAATTCCATCTCTGTACCAAATTTCATTAAAATCAGTTTAGTGGTTTAGACCAGAAAGCGTAACAGACAGACAGACAGAGTTTTTGTCGCATTTATAATATTAGAAGTGATAAAAACAACAGTTATGCATTAGTATTGTGATACGAAACGAATGGTATTTTAACTGAGTAATAATTTTAATATTTAAGTGCAGTTATCATCGCTTCAAGTCTCATAGCTGATTTGATACGGTCAGGAGATGCAATCATTCCCTCAAGCTAACTCTCCTATAAATATTTTATGTATAGTCTTAGTATTATACACGTTTTCCTTATATATATTATATGATAGTGTCTAGTGTGGTCTTTTAATTTTTTTTATTTACTTGAGTTCAAAATAAAAGATATCTATAATCGGTTTGTATTGAGTTAAATGTTTAGGTTTTTTCAGATGTGAATAATTATTTACTTTTTTATATATAAATGTATACCACAGCTTTGCATGCTAATTTAAAAATTACACAGTTTCTAAAGCGATACTCTAAATTACTTTCTATACTTCTCAGATCACATCCAACAAAAAAGCGTTTTAGTTTTTATTGTAATTTTAAAACGTCTATCAACAGAAAAAAACATCCTCGTCATAATGTTATCAAACCTTTTATAATAAGTAAGTTTATTTCTTAACGACATATCTTAAATTGTGTGTGACTTGTTCTGTCCAATTTTCTCATCCTCCATGCCTTTCCTTTATGTTCTTTAGGTCTAATTATTTATATTCCATCTAAAATACTAATAAGCATGAAGCTACATTACTGATAATAACATGGAACTATCCTTCATGATTAAAAAGCCTAGATTTGTAGGGTGAAGTAGCGACTTATCACGTTATAGCGACCCAAGAGTTTTGTGGTGTTTGTGGAACTCCTACAGTTAGACCATGAACTCATTAATACTTATCTATTCAGCGAATAGCCATTGAGATCGGTTGTGCCAGTTCAGCATGAAAAACACCAAGTCTAGCAACAAAAATCATATTATTTCACTGTTTCTTTTCGTATAATAATCCTATTTTTAATTATGTACCTCGTAATGCGTTACGAAATCGTATTATTGTTACTAATTCCTATTTTTCGCTCATCCTTAATCTCGCTAATTTATTTCGATGCATCTCAAATCACTAATGTTAAGTAACGTTGCTACGAGGGGAGGTCAAAAAGTTCGCGGAATGGAGGGGATGGAGGGGGTTGATTTACTCGTCCAGGAAGTAACTTGTTCAACACCTCATTAATAGTATATATACCAAGTTTGAACCAAATCGGGTCATAAACTTTTGAGTTATTAACCTGCAAACGAGTGAATCGGGAAGAAGTCAGTGAGTATGGAGAAAATTGAACACCGCGCCGTTATTAAGTTCCTCACCAAGCAAGGAAAATCCGCTCAGACGATTTTTGAAGAGCTGTTATCAGTTTACGCGGTCTCTGCCCCTGGTAAAACCATGGTTTACAAGTGGCATGGACTTTTTAAACAAGGGAGAGAGTCCATTGAAGATGACCCCCGCTCCGGACGACCGATTGAGGCCACCACACCGGAAATCGTCGCAAAAGTAGAAAAACTTATATTGGAAGATGCCCGGTTGAAGAAGAAACAACTTGCAGCAATGGTTGGAGTATCCGAAACCAGCATTTTAAATATCCTACATCATCATCTTGGGATGACTAAGGTCAGTGCAAGATGGGTTCCACGAATGCTCACGCCACTTCAAAGAGAGCGAGCGTGTCGAGTGTTCTCGCCAGTTTTTGAAGCTCTGTGGGGAGAATAAGGATGAAGTTATGGACCGGATTGTTACTGGTGATGAAACCTGGGTTCACCACTATGAACCTGAATCGAAGTTAGAATCGATACATTGGCATAAAAAAGGCACAGCTCCTCCCAAGTAGTTTAAAGTGTCACAATCGGCCGGAAAGATCATGGCGACTGTCCTTTGGGATACAGAAGGTATTTTGCTGATCAATTATAAAGATCGTGT